TTCTAATAATATAAACATATATATATATATATATATATATATATATATATACACTCTTGCATATTTTTATAAAATTGTATATTCTTACTTATTATGAACAATTAAATTGCTCATTAATATCTAAATAATTCAATCGTACAGCAGTAAGTCACCTAATAACAACTGGAAGCAATCACAGTATCTAAAAAAAAATTTATGGATCTATAACCAAAATAAATATTTGAAACGTATGAATAAATAGATAATTAAACAGTTAATAAGAAATGAAATAATATTTATGGTATTGTAATAATGTCCAGCGAAGCAGAAATCCTCCAATACCGTAAAATTGTTTAAATAGAGATATTTATCCATTTTTATGTGTATAAAAAATACTCCCCAAGAAATAAAATTACCAGCTGAATGATGGAGATTTAGCAATAATAGATTTGTTTATTTATTATTATATAACATGGAACCGGATGAAGACATTTTATTGTCCAACTATGTTGTGGCAAACTTTTGTGTAGAATATAAACTAAATTGAAGTTTTTTATGTATTCTCAACATCAATAAGACGTTGTGATAATTTACTCAACTACATTGCTTTTCAGAAGGTAACCCATATAGCCTATCTCTATTTGATGAATTTATTAAGTCCATCTCAAAATATATACTTTAAAATATCTTCATTTTTATTTGATATATTATCCTAAAGATTTTGGTTCATATTTTTCAACAAAAAATTATTTAAAAAAAGCTTACTAACACATATATAAATATGTGTGTGTATGTTCAATGTAAGTATAAATAGAATATAAAATTGCAATAAATTCTAAAGTGAAATACGAGAAAAGCACATTTCTTAGAAATAATTTCTGCAAGAATCATACTAAATGTTGCACTTTAAAAATGTGAGAGTAAATACGTGTTTGTAAACAATCTTAAAAATACCTATAAAATATTCCATTAATCGTTTTCTTTTTAATTAAATATGTATGTTGTAATAGTTTTTTCCACATCAAGCATTGAATCATTTTTATGAACCAAACGATAAGAATAAAAAACAGACGAAAAAGAATTTGAATAAATTAGCATAAGTCCATATTTAACAGTTTGATATGCAAATATGTTTAATTATTTTCGAGCTTATTGTTAACAATAAATCATATGCATATATGAACAACAATGATTAATAGTTTTTGACTATTTTTTACGAATGGGAATCAAAACTTCATCATTTTATATTATACAGTATATAACTTAATATAACGTTTCTACAGTTTGGCACGTACAATATTTTATTAATTTTACTCTTGGCGATTTCTACTTGAGATTATATTTGAGATCTATAACCTTAAGTAAAAATTTGATACCACACTGCTTGATATCGAGCTGACCGAGGTATATTGGAATCGAACCCTGTTATCGACTGGTTAGTGCTAGCACACGTTAATTTTTAGCTATTCCTATCGATGAATGTATAGATATTCTCTTTTATAAAATATTTTATTATTTGTCATTAACATAATATTTTTAAAAATCGCAGTTGATAATTATCAACTAGATATCAAGATATCAATAGTAATATATTTGTTATATGTTAACTTATTTAAATACCGATTAAGTTTTTTTCAGAAGCATAACATGATTATAGATATTATATTTATAAATAATATAAAATTTTATAAAGCGATAAAAAATAATTATTTTCACTTCAATATTAGCATTATTTGTGAAAAATAGTATAAATATATTATATTTATATACTACAATAAAAAATTGCCCATAAAAATAATTATAATGTGAATTATATGGGATATATTATCAGCATTGTTTGTGAAAAATGAATGACTAAAATGTGATGACAATATTAAATATCAATACACTAAAAAAGTAATTGTGTATGGTTAATTGGTTACATAAATAAAAACCTATATTCAACACATCAAATCAGCAGTTTTGATTGATAGTATTATTGTATTCTCCTCGAATTACAATTTGTAGCAATTTTTAAGGAACATACACAAAAAATTATTAAGGCGTAAAAATTCTCAAATTTCTTATCACTATAAATATTTTTATTTTATATTTATATTAAATATAATAAAATTATAGAGTGATTCTGAAAGTTTCTATCAAAGATTATAAACAAAATTTATTAGAAATATATTGAATAAATCAAAACGTTATCTCTGGAGCTTGAACGATAGTTAAAATATGCATGTCGTTGAATTTGTCAAAGAAACGTTAGATTTATATTGCGAAAAAGAATTCCAAACATTTCGGAGATCTGGAGTTAAAAATGCTAGAAATAAAATATTGGCACTCAAAAATAATGGTTTTCATTAAACTTTCACAAAATCCAGAAAAAAGTCTCGAAAATTTTATCGTAACAATCGACTTTGAAATAAAACTTCTAAAGAGAAGTAAATCATCTGACATTTGTGAGTACAAATTCTTATTTCCACAGAATTTTCAATTTATAAAAATTTCAAGAAATTGCTTTTGCTGTTCTTTTCAAAATTTTCAACATAGAGAATTCGGTTTACATAATTTGACATGCACACACACACACAAAACGACCCCCAAGACCAACCACTTCGAGGTTTATCAAAATTTAACCCTTATTTTTGGGTCAATGCACGGGACATCAGAATTAATTTCAGAGGTATGGGTTTCTTCGGCAAAGTATATTTTATTTTGATCCCTAGATTCCGAAAATTATATGTGGCTAAGTGGCCCTTAAATCGACCCGCCCTAATAATATATAAAATATAATAAGAAAGAAAAGCAAACGGGGTCAATTAGGACAAAAATATAAGAGTGATATTTAAAGAACTCTAAAGCCTCCTCCTATAAAGGGCGGATTTGTGGCGAGGGGGCAAGGAATAAGCGGATGTTTTAGTTGGTATTATTTATAATGAGCCCAACATACCCAGACAAAAGAACTAGTCTGGCATTCATAAATGCATTTCCCTCGCTACTCAAAAATAAATATTAAAAAAACACATACATAATTTGCACAAAGTGTTAAAAGGAAAATTGATTTTCAATCAGCTTGATGTGTTTCATCAAGCAATAAATCAAACTAGGAAAAAACTAAGACACAAACGTTAAAAAACTATTTTAAAAAGAAATATTTTAATTAACGATAAATGCATAACAATAACTATTTTATAATTAAAACTGTCAAAAATTTAAATATTTGACAAAACAAGGATTCTCAATCTGTCAATATTAAAACTCAGCTCCTGTGCAGAACTTCAATTCAGTTTTGATTTTGACGGATTAAGGATTATTAAATAAAGAAAGATAATAAATTTATCTTTTTAATTCGACGAATTGGCTGTATATTATATCAAATATGTTTTAACGTTGAAATAACGACATATATTTTATATATATATATATATATATATATAATATTTGTGTGTGTCAAAATATAAAACATCACAAACCAAATTTTGAATTAATAAGATAAAAATGAATAGCTAACCGTTATTTTGCTCCGCCCTGATGCAATTCACAATATTGAAATTGAACAATATTTTCACCAACTGTTTTAATATTTTTTAATATCACAGATTAACTTAAATCTACCTAAACTGTCCATAAGCGTGCGCGCCTCAGGTATGGCGCGCTTCGACTGATCGTGAAATTCAAATCCGCGCGGTCGGCGGCGACTTCACTGCGTATGCAATAAAACAAGAAAGTACGAAAGCATTATATTGTATCATTGTGTAATTGTTCAAGAAGTTGCAGAAAAATCAGCGAAATAATACAATCATCGGAAAAACGACCTAAGATTGTAATGGAATATGAAAAGGATTTTCTTTATGCAAAATTGAATATATCCGTCCCGTATTTTGCTTTTCTGTATCACATCCCTCACTCAAACAAAGTTATAAACATAGATAAAAGAAGAGTATAAATACTTAGCACCATCAATTTTTAGCTTCCCGGAAAAGTTTCTCTTTTCGCCATGAATTCTCGCCGTTCCAAGTTATTCTGAATCGTTTGATACAAATCTTGGAAAAACTATGTGTAAATTTGATCTTTTGTGGACAACCATTTTTTAAGCAATCAAAGATCAGATTAACAGCAATCAAATATATGTTCTCTTTGGCTTACATATCATGTGTTATTAAAAGCCAACCCGATAGTTGGCCATAATTTATCTGATCAGATTGTTACTAGTACTTTTGTGTTATATGCAGCAATTCTCTTAAAAGGCTTTTTTTACTTGATACCATATCTTAGATTTCAAAGTTTCAACTATTGCCTGATATCAAGTTGGCCGAAGTAGTTCCTGAAATCTGCAATTGCAGAACCAAGTCTTTACCAAAATAGGGAAATGTTTATATGAGAAAAAGCAAATATTCAAAGTACCATTTTGATTTTGGAAATTTTGTTGAATATATATAAAAAAACGCTTTAATTTAAATATGATCGAAAATCATGGATTATACTACTTATTTTACATAAATTATTATCAATTGCAAGAAACAAAAAACGGAATTGTAGTTTCAAATGCCAACAATTGATGTTTTATATTGCTTTTTATCATATTATAGTCATTATATATTTATTATAAAAATAAATATAGCCCTTATAAAGATAGGTACATATTTCTTTATTATTCATCTTGAATAATACGCTAATTCTAGTTAAATTAACATTAAAGTGTTAACAGTTGCGTCTACCAGGTGAAATATTCATACATCTACTTTCATAACAAATTATAAAAATTTGTTAATGTGAATCTCGATTGTAAACTAGTTCAGTGCTAGTCTTATCTATAGTGCGAATACTGTGTTGTGCATTTATGGTACTACACATAATTTGAAAACCAATTCATATAGAACACAAACCATAATTGTTCAATGGCTTGCTCATGATCATTTAAAAAACGATATTTTATTTATTAATCATTAATGAGTAAAATTTAAAGTAAAATACCAATATTCGTAAATTATTGAAATTTGATCAAAAATAATTTTGAAAATTAAATAAACAAATAGGTTTTTGTATTTTTATTTCATAATTAAAAATAGACAAGATAGTTTAACTCGATTGTTTCAAATAGTCCTTCAAAACATCCAAAGCTGGAGTCTCTTCCCCAAAATCCTAAAAAACAAAACAAAACATTGAATAAAATGTATATAATTACAAATTGGTAATTAAATTAAATTAGGTAAATCTATGCTTATTTAACACCAAGAAGTAATAAAGTAAAGGAAACAACTATTACATAAGATGAATTTCAGTGCAATTTTTTAAATATTCATAGTAACTCAGTTACTTATTTTCAGAAATTACTAAGTACTATATTTTGGTTATTGGAATGAAGCAAATATTCAATAAAGTCAATAATAAAAAGGTAAAAATGTCTAGTGTCTTGTTCACTAAGGATGCTTCAACATAATTAATTACAAGACAAAAACTTTGATACAGAAACTAAATTATATAGAAAAACTGAATGTAATGAAACTCACTCTGATGACAACGCATGAGCATCCAACAATCTTTCTGGCTTTACCATCTTTGTCAATTTTGCAAAGACCTGCCCATTCTCCTAGTTTTTTGTTGCTATCAACTTTAACAAGGGGAATCTGATGCTCATTGCACAGAGCTTGTACTAATTTTTTGTACATTGGTTCGTCGCAACTTTCAGCCAAAACACAAAGAACTGCTTGTCGTCTAAAATAATTATATAATTAGTTTATGGTTATATTTGTATGGTTATATTTTTGCATATATCTAAAATAAATTATAAACTACCTTTTAAAAGCCATGGAATTACATTTTCACAAAATCACACAAACATTGTAAGAAAGATAAAAACGAATGCACCACTTAAATACATATGTATAAGATATTGAAGAAAAGAATATTAGAATCAAATCCTATTTCTCGAAATCTATCAGTCACTCATATTGGTTATAAATAAATATAAACCTATTAAATATATCATACAGTTTTTCCCACACGGTTTTCACAGAGCAAATACTTTCATATGTTAATTATTTTAATTTGAATATTAATTATTTTAATTTGAATAAAAATTAAATCAGATTACCACCATTAAACCATGGTGGTTAATATATGTAGTTAATCGCTTCAAGTATCAACATATATGCTATAATCAATAGTAATGAAACTACACTGGTTGAACCATTAGCAGTCTTACTTGTCCAGAGATTTGGTGGCTTCGTGTAAACCATGTACAAGTCCATCATGAATAAGTGCAGTCTTCAACACTTCTTGTAAAGCAGTGTTTACGTCCATGGCTCCCCCAAGAACTGGGGCCGAAGAAGGTACATCACTAAAATTAAGAGGTCAATATCATTATCTAACCTCAAAATGTCTTCTGTAGAAGTTGAAAATGTAAAACAAGAAACATATTTTTGGAGTAGTTTTTGAATAAAAATTTTATATATGGATTAATTTGACGAGTAAGTCATTTTGTAAATCATATAATACTTAGCACGAGTGAAATACTTACACTTCTACGTCTGACATATTGTAATTGATGTTTTAACAGCAAATAACCTAAAATATATAAATAACAATATTAAAGCACATCAATTATAAGACACAACACAATTCTGTACACTGATGAACAAGATAATTGAATTTTATTTTAACATAAAAATTTTCAATACTAACACAGTGCTTGCCGTACCGGAAAAGAAACAAATTTCGTGTTGCCATCAAATTATTGACAATTCGAATATGAAAGCTTGCGTTGGTGCTACTGTATTTATCGCGGGAATATGATTTTGATTTGATTCGATTTGGCAAATGAAGTTATCGATCTTATAAATATCAAATCTACAAAGTATATAGTATTTCATTCAGTTAAATAAATGTTCAACCAAATTTTAATCCGCATTCTGTGAAAATATGAATCACACATCACGTCTTTCACCCTCTAAAATTTTATAATTAATTAGATTAAATACACCTATTTTCACTAACTGAAATAAAATGACTGCACATTAACTATTCATTTATATATTTATTAACTATTTATTTATATCCATATATATAATATGTAATAATTATATTATATTTTATTATTCAATTTTAATAAATAATACATGAGTATTTTTTCTAATATTTATTTCTCTATAGGCTGTACATATTTATTTACATTGCACAAAATGTGTTGATATTAACAAAACAAAATATGACTATTAGTTTATTATAAATATGAATATTAAGTAGAATATATAGTTCAATACTTTTACAGAAATCTTATAAAAGATGTTTTAAATGGATATGTTTCAATCTATTTTATTCACATTTTGTATGTTGAAAAACTATGATTATACATTTGTAAACTTCAATAATTTTATTTTACTATACTTAATAATTATATAAGATTTTCTTTATTAAAATGCACATAAATATAAATTATTTTCATGAAGTTAATGAAAATTCTAATATATACCAAATCCATTTGTCACCTATATTTCTCAAAAATTTTAATGTATGACAAAAATCATTTGTTGCGAAAATCCTCACGCAACTTTGGAAAGTCAACAAATTCTTTTCCATAATGCATAATTATAGAGAAAGTAGATGCTATCATAGCTCCCCAAAATAACATGTACAGTAACACCTCAGTGGAATATTCATGAGGAAAAATTGCACTTGCAAAAAACATGGATATAGCGATCATCAACACGGAAGGAGCCTGAAAAGTTATGATTAAAGCAATGTATTTTCTTGAGAATTTAAAAAAAAACTTTTGGATTTGAATCTTCATGAAAGTTTTCATATAAAAGTAAATTTTTCAATATTAAAACCAATTCATACATACCGCTACATACTTCCATCCTCTTGTCACTTGCAAAGGGCTTCTTCTCAAAGTACCTTCATCTGCATTGACCTGATAATTACCAAGGAAGAGGTCTATGGAATCCTGTTTAATGTTTTTTTTTATTATTAATATCTATTACACAAAATATTTAATAAATTATAATAACCTGTCTATAACCATCAGAGAAGTTATTCATATAGTATCTTGTTAATGAATTAACTCCATCTTTCATTAGGCCGACCCGAGTTCTTTTTCCTGTTCTTGTGAAATCTGTTTTGAGGGCTCCTGTTCCTGAGTATTGAATACTAACAAGATCTGCATTGTCTGCCCAAACCTATTGGAAAATGATTTAATTATACATTAAAGTAAATATAAGACTTTCTCATCAATGGTGATAAAAAGCAAATTCAAGAAAACAATATTTTGGAAACATCTTGAAAATGTGTTTTAAGAAAAATAAGATAAGATTAAAGATAAGTAAATAAGTAACATATATATTAAATAAATACCGCTTTGAATAAACTCTCAAAATGTGGAATATCCTGAACATTTTGTCCGGGCTTAAGAACATCTAGCTTATGCAAAACTCCATTTAATGATCTTCTAGCTAACATACTTTGAACAACATTTGTGCGATCCAAGCAATCAACGCAGTTTGTACGAAAAACACCTTCTTGAGAAGAAATTAAGCTTCCATCTCTTCTCAATAAAAATACTGAAAATTCATCCTGTAACAAAAGTTTTTGTAAACTTAAACTAAATAAGCTTGTACTCACAAACATATGTAAATACATAAACAATTATAATAATTATGCATAAATTATAATATAACATATTAGTTGATGTAAATTTCAAACAATTAAAAAATTATTAAAAGACAATAACATACTTGTTCATGAGCAAGCCGATCTATTAAAATATTCAACCGCTCCCACTTCATATGCCTACATTCTGCATGGAAATCAAAAGACTCATATCTAACTCCATCAATACCTGCATTTTGCACTACGCTGCTGTAAGCTTTTTCTAAAGCTTCTTCAGGTCCATGGTGATCAATCTTAAACAAAGATAAGAGTTGTGCGTATAAACTAAAACTCAAGTTTAATTACTTTTTTTAAATATCTATTTAGTGCATAAGATTGCTTACCAAATTTACTAGAACTTGTCTTCCATACAACATTATTTGATTTTCAATGTGACGAGTGTAAGCAGAAATGTTATCCAATCCAATTTGAACTTCTGGTGCTGGTTTATACTTCAAATTAGGATATTGATTCCAAAACAAAGGAATGGATCCTCTAGTTTGTACAAAGGAACTCCTATCACCAGAATATTCCAAAATTTGTTCAGTTTCTACAAAATTAGCTACTGCTCCCTGTTTTAAGTGTTGCAATGTAATCATGGTCAAGTTTTTCAGGAAGATTTCTGCAGTGTACAATAAACAAACATAAATAATTCACCTCACCTGATCATCAATGCCACGACAGAACAATCTTGTGCCAGCTCTATGTATACATCTGCGGGAGATCAAACTCCATGTCACTGAGTTCCCATTAATGCGAACTTGATTAATACAAATGACTGAATAATTATATAAGGAATATGGATACAATATCTGATTTACATTTGATTGATATAAATATTTTAAAATTATAGCTTCAAAAATATTTTTGGTGTAACACATGTGAAACAAAGTTTTAATATGTGCAATGAAGATGTATCTTTGAATATTAACAAAAGGATACAACCTAACATAATAGGTAAACAGTATTTTTTAAATTCTGGTCTATATAAGTATTTAAGAAGCATTCCATTCCAAACAAATCTTGGTTCAGCTCGTTCAAATAGAGATGTCTATAAAATATTATGTGCAATATACATATAAAGTAATAAAATGATGTTATCCAAAACTATTTAAGTACTTGCAAAAACATAGGAGGTGTATTGTATAATCTTTGCAAAGTATGAGTCACATCATATGTATAACTGAAATATAATCTTGGTGTCTCCAAAACATAACGAATCATATTTTCATAAATACCATTGAGATGAACCTAAAATATATTCATAATATTAAATATAATATGTAAAATATTCTGTTAATTTGTACTTATATAAACGACAAGAAATTTAAAGATGAAAATAATATCACACTTTGACCTTGTACATATTATAAAAGACCATGGAAATAAATATTTTTTAATCCATATTTACCTGTTCCATACTAAGATGATTCATTGATTGTGCATATGGAATTATGTCACTGCCAGCCAACTGCCAAATATCTTGACCATTTATTCTTCCTACCTTAAAATATATAATCCTTTAGTTAACATCAGTATACTTGATAATATATTTCAACAAGACTAATTACCCAAATTCTATGTGTAGCCACAACTAAATAAGGCCCAGCAATTAAATTTATAATACCAAGTAAACCGCATACAGCCCTTCTAGGAGCATTACGTGGAATTTGGTTTGATTTAACTAAATGACCAAAAAACCTGTTAGTGTTAGGATAATTGTAAACATCAAAATATATATTTCTACTTACCTTGTAACTGAATCTCAAACGTTACTCTATCAATAATTAGTACTTCATGTTTACCATTAGGTTCTATGTAAAATTTATCTTGTGAAATATAACTAAAATGACATAAAATTTATGTTCATTGGTATAGCTCGTTATTAAATATATAATTTAATACTCACAAATTCATATCATCATGAATATCACTATTATTCATTATTTCCGACATTTTGAATATAATTTTATAATATATTTATAATAAAATTTCTAAAAATATGTAATAATATATAAAACACTAATTTAAATCATTGTATAAATGTCAAATCAAACGTCAATAGAGAGCGGGCAAGGTCCATTAAACTGTCACTTGTCAAATTTTTTCAACAACAAAATTTCCATGTCTTATTCTAAATTCTATACGCATTTTAAATGATATTTAAAAGCTTTTATATTAACATTTCTCAGAAAAATTATTTTAAACTATTCACTTTATAATAAATAATCATAAATGTTAGTTGGTTAGTTAATAGGATCAGATTTTATTATTGAAATTCGCGCTTTTTGCCTCATTTTCATTTTACACTAGTGTCGCTAGTGTATATTTTTGACACGGCCTTGTGATTCACGTTTTTGAATCGAGAGAAAGTTCGTTTCAAACCAAATGTTAACTTTCTAAATATGTATATTTTTATGCTTTTATTCGTTGACGTTAATTTTTTACTCAAATTGATGTCATAAATTAAAGTATTTTGTAGCATTTGCAGGTTGAAACATATAAGTAAGTCTTTAATTCATGCTGTGATTATGAACGATAAAGAACTATTCTATTCTTGCAATATTGGGAACCGACAATTTTAGGTATTCTATCTTTATATCATACACACAAATAAGTTATGACTTCATAGTTTGAAAAAAAAACGTTCTAAAATACATTCACATTAGTAGTGATTGCTAAAAATAAAACAAAGTTTTAATTTTTATTCTAACCTTTAACTATCAGTCTAAAATCAAACAAATGAAAACTATCCAAAAAAAAGTTGTCCAAACTGAACTTGAGACTTAATCCTGAATGGTTCTTTGTCTCTAATGAATATAAAAAAAGTGCCCTAATCAAAAAATTTGATTTAATTCATATATATGGACTTTTTTATTAATTCTCTTTTCATATAAAAATCTTAATATTATTTCCGACAATATTTTCAAAATTATTACATAACCACTTATATACAATACTTTGTTTACTATATACACTAAAATATATATTTTATTTGTATAAATAAAATAATTATAGCTTTATAAACTCTTAAAAATAAACAAATAACAACATGTACAAGAAAGATGCAATTGACAAATGATTAAAACTCAATCAACTGCATATTCAATTTTATGAAAATGAAAACTGACCATTTAAATAAACAATTCATAGTAACAAATGAAATATGACTAATTTATTGTTATCGAAATAAATAAATAAAATAAAATAAATTATTGTCTAACTATGATACATTCAATTATGAGATAACAAATATTTAATCAAAAACAATGTGCAATATTATTTATAATAGTACGAAACAATATGTACATTTTATATAAATAAACATGTTAATAAACATAACAATATGACATCCAATGTGCTTAGAATTAATAATCCGTTCACTTACATAATTTGGAAATAGTCACATTATATTAAAAGACTATATAGTACAACCAATTATATGAATTGTTCATTTAGATGATCTGGAATTGCTTAAAAAACTTACAATATAAATATACTTAATATAAATTTAAATATTTACATGATAAAACTATTACATTAGTTATTAGATCATGATTTGTCCCGTTTCTTGAAATTTCGTTTTGATGCACATCGGTGTATTATGTCAGATACATTGGCCTTATGATCAAATATTCGCATAATTTGATTTTTTGCATCAACCATTCCATCATTGATTATTTTGCTCCTTTGCATATTTCCCTGAAAAAAAATGCATTTATTAGGAAAATTCAATTTTTATGTTAATCGTATATAAAAATATGATATACTTTTATTAATTCATTTATATTTATCATTTCTTTAGTGTTTTCTTCCTTCTCCATTAACATTAAGAGACCAGATAATTTGTCATAAACCTGACTCTCCATCTCTGACTATAAAATAAAAATGCAATAATTAGAACTATTCTAGCTTTAGTATGATATATTAATTTGCATACCATATCTTCCATTTGAGTACTTAAATGATAAATTTTCCATCCATTAATTTTTTGTAGAACATGTGACTGGTTTGCGAGATCAATTATGTTAGGTTTCCTTTCATCTTTAGGTTTAACATCAGAGTACCTTGATTACAGAAATAAGATAAATTTAAAATATTATTTAAGTTTTATTAATTTCACTGATCAAACAAAATTTCTTACCTCTGAAAATGATATTGTGTAGACTTCCAACTTTGTTTGTAATAACTTAACAACGAAGCTGAGGGTGGCTTTCTCACGGTTACGTCTTTTAAACGCTCTGATACTTCTAAAATTATCAAAGTATTTTTATATAAATAGTAGATGTTTTTTTTATATATGTGTATACTGGACATAAAAATTTAATTTACCTGGTGTATTTGACATTTCACTTTTTGTACGTGTTTCAGATATAAATAGCAAGTCTTCTGATTTAGTTTTTCCTTCAACAGATTCATTTGCAGTTCTGAAAAATACAAATAAAATTTCATTTTAAATATAGACTTAAAATTAATTATTAATAAGCATTAACATCAAAAGCAACACAACAAAATCACATGTTTCATAATCATTATCAAGACCATAACAATAATAATAATAATTAGAGTAAAAGTTTTTTTTTATAAATGTAACAAGAACGAGAAGTAAATTTGTTGATAATAAAATTTAGTATATAAAATATTCATTTTATCGTCTTACAGCTGTTGTTTTCGGGGCTTTTTCCTTGGAGACATTTCTGTTGGTCTATCATCATCTTGCCTCAAATTTCTCCGGCTATTAATATCTTCATGTTTAATATTAACATCATTAGCTGTCTTAAAAGCATCTCCTTCTATCAACGATATATTAATTTTCTGATCATTATCACTTGAAGTTTGTATTCTATTTTCATATTTATATCTATTTTCTAGTACATTGTAATCTCTATTGGTTCTTATGCCTGTAAATACAATAATTATATTTATCCTGGAAAACAAAACGCAAAGGCATGTGATTATAATAATAACACAATACCTGTATGAAGTCTTTCAACTGGGGTATTAAGTTTCATCCTTTCTTCTATAGTATAAACTTGATCTTTTGTCTCCAAATTAAATTTTCTAAGATTTTCTACATTTAAACCACTATATTTAGTATCATCAGTGACATGATCCTGACTTCTATCTGGCACATATTTAGAATTGACTTCTAAATTCAAAGGATATTTATGATCCTCCTCTTGATCTTCAAGTCCTGGACTAGAAGTTGCACTTATTGTAGTGGAACCCGCACTTGATGGGCAATTGCCACGAGAGTCTGGCCTTTGTTGTGGAGATATTGGAGGATTATTGGTAATAACATGTAATGATGGCGTTAAATTTTTTGCTGCTTTGAGATTTATTCTGAAAATAAATAGTTCAGTGTAAAAATACATTGATCTTAGTCTTATGAAGACCATAATAATAATTATGAGAAAAAGTACATACGATCATATGCATGTATACTATTTACATAGTATTATATACTATATACTATTTATATAGTATATGTGTCACATACTATTCGATATGTACTTAATTAATAACATTATCATTATACCCGTCATGATCCCGTTTCCGCAGAATACTAGGTCTAGGTGAAGATGATGACTTATGATGGCTCCCTGAAGTTACTGGAGCTATTTGACCATGATGCACAACAGCTAAAAGATTTCCAGAGGTTTGACTCGAAGGAATGCCTTGCGTTGTACTTCCTGGTCCAAGAACATTTTGCTGAACATTTGTAGTTATTGTCAATTGATTTGAAGCCGATGCAGTGTGATTTGTTTGATCAGTAGAATTAACAATACTCCCAGTTGAAGATTCTACTATCATAATTGGATTGAAGCAAACAGGTTGCGATACAGCTAAAAATATATTAAAGAATCAAAATGTTTAAAGTGGGAATAGTTAGAAATTAATATTTTTTGAATTAGTAGTATTAGCACAAAAAAATCCAATATTATAAAAATGAATATACGATTTCAAATATCTGCTACTTACAATGAACGGAATGTGAAGATTGTGGTACTGTAGTATTTGTTGATAAATTGGTGGCTGTATTATATGATGCATTATAATAATACGGTCCTCCAGAAGCAGGAAAATTATTTCCTGCAGCTTTAGATTCAGTGATTCCCAGTGCACCTTAAAATGAGCAAATATTAATATACATGATTTACACTAATATCAAAAATAAAAATGCATATAGCAAAACATAAATTTAAAACCAGCATGTATTATATTATATAATATAAATCATGTTTATAATAATCTTACCAGGTGAAGATCTGTGTACATATATGTTTGCACTAGTCTCTGAAGTTTGAGAAAATGTTTTAGGAACACTCGCAATTATTCTTGTAGGAACAGTACAACCTGGAACAATTTTCATAAATTAGGTAACAAATCTCAAAATCATAAAAATGTGAAAATGATCATAATACCTGATCGGGAATTAGTAATTGCTGTGGTAGAAATATTGGTATTAGCACCTAAGGTAGTGCAAGAAGTAGAATTAATAGATATGGCCTGAATTGATGTTTGAAGTACATTTGATCCATTAGTTTTAATTCCCGCTGGTGGAGTTATTTGTGCCAAAAGCTGCAAAACATTAGATGTTCCATTAATACAAAGTCAAATAAAACGTTAACTCATAAATTAATATTATATACTTTTGTATTGCTATTTCTACCGCCGCTACTTGCAACAAATACAGCTGTTGGATGGAGTTGTACTAATCCACTAATATTAGAAGAGTTTGAACTTAAATTATTAGTGTTCATATTTGTACTTGATATAATATTGGTTGTACTGGTTATTGGCATACTAGCCGCAGTTGTTTGAGATTGCATGTTTTGTGCTGAACTTGAAACATGAGCCACTAATTTATTGCCACTGGATATATTTTGACCCTGTGAAAGAACATAACTATAATAATATAATATAATAACAACAGATAACAGATAATTCTCTTGTCTTTACCTGAATAGTACGAGATATTGAAATATTATTTACAGCTACTCGGTTCATTCCACCGGCAGTAGATGTAGTCAAATTTTGTGTTTGAGGTATTGAATTTGTGTAACTTACTATATGAGGATTGTTTACAGAATTATTGCATGCAACTCCTGTTACATTAGTAGATGGATTGGGACATATCCTAGCACTCAATGTTCCAGATACTGTTATATGAGGCCGAGGTGTTGCATTCACCTGAAATAAATTTGTGAGAATCTTTTGTATTATTACACAAACCATTACATATGTATTATCGAAGCTTTAAGTATTCATTAAAAATATATTTACAATGTATCATCAATGCATTTTGTAGTAGTATTATAATGAACATAAATAATCAATATTTTTCATTCATAATTTTTTAGAAAATCAAAATTAGAGTCTATTAGTACCTATATAATATATGGTACTAATATTTTATTTACCAAAAATATGATATGAATTTAAAATTATACCTGAATTTGTCTATTATTGCCACTAACGCCTTTAACTCTTTGAGCAACACCAGCGTTTGAGGTTGGCAAAGCATGCAATCTAGAACCATGAGAGACACTGCTCCCATATACAAGCGTCGCGCTTTGGTTCTGTTGACTACGCACAGGTAATGTACTGTTTGAAGCAATGGTTTGAACAGATAAAGCTCCCGTACTTGAAGTAGATTTCATGGCACTAACCTGTAAAAAGTCAATTCAAGAAAAATTAAGTAACAAAATTAAATTAATGATATAAAAAAAACAATATTAACTGTAAAAATGAAACTAATAAAAAAAAAATAACAGAACTTAATTAGCTTAATAAATAGCATAGCATGATCAATATAAAAACTTAAAAAAGAAATGATGGCACACAATAATACACCAAGCAAAATAGTTGTTACTTTATTGTTAATAAAATACTTCTGATTGATTTTCTATTATAATTTGGATCATTAATGATTAAAACTATCATTCAATCTGTATTACAAATTTATTATACCTGTGTAGTTTGTTGTATTAATGTCTGTCTCGGGTTTTGAGCATTTGATTGATTTGCTCGACCCACAGTTGTAAAAGTAGGAATTCTTTGTGAAACATTTGCACTGCATACTTGTACAGTTTGCACCTAAAATTTTAAAGTAAAATGAACATTTTATTTAAAACTTAATTTAAATTTAATTATATTGAACTACTAAATGTAACCCTCAAAATCACAAAAAAATGAAATTCACGAAAAATTTGGTTGCTTAACTTAAACATAGAGACAAAGCATTAATTTATATTTATTACTAGCATTATATTCATTGTTTTGATATTTATTTATTTATTACACAATAAGTATAATAATGATTAGAATGCATGTTCTCAATAATACTTAATGAGATAAAAATAATATTAATTATATAGATTATCACCAAAACATTATTTTTAAGAAACTTTTTTTTAAAATTTGATTGATTTAAAGCTTAGAAAATTTTGGCAAAAGGAATAAATGATAACATGTCTTCTTATTGTATTAGTTAAAGCTTGTTGAAGATAATACCTGAAGCATAACTTATACAAATATAAAGCTATTATAAAATTTGCAAAATTTAGTAGCTTTTCATTTTGAATATATTTACCTGCACTGTGCCTCCAATCCAGGCAGTGCCAGCAGCGGGACTAGATGCTCTTGGGGGAACAGCAGCCCTAACAAAACCAACTGGCACATTCACAGTTACTCCAATAGGACCTACAGAGTTGGAATTAACATGGCCAACTGGTAAGGCAGCGCCTACACCTAAAGGAAGATTAGATTAGTATTGAATTGGTATTTGAATTTCATATATTGACAATTAATTGAATATAAAATAAATACTGCTGAATATAAACTCTCTAAGCGAAAAAAACAATAAATTAACAAAATTAACCTTCTCGTGCTAGGACACAATAACAATAGAATGATTTTGAACATTTTTTTTATTAGTATTTGCAGCACTTATCTTATTTTTTAAGATACAATGAATATTCTGCTAGGATCAAAATGTAGGATACAAAAATTTGTAAAATGAACATTATACACAAAATATATCATACTATAAGTCATTAAAATTAAGGTGAATTAGTAAACGCTTACCTGGAATTATGTTTGCGGGGGAAACAGAAACGTGGGCTGCTTGCTGACACTGAGATTGAGCAGCCGGTGGCCGTATTCTTGGGCCCGTTACATTTGAAATAGTTGTTCCACCTGTCAATAAAATAACTTTTTATATTGCATTTCACACAAAAAGCTATGGTGTGCATTTCACTCTGAAACAAATTTTACCTCTAGAAAGAGGGAGTGTTGATAAAATTGTCCTTGTAGCAGTCTGCCCTGCTTGAATGGAAGTTGATCTAGCTGGTATAGCAGTTATGTGAGTTCGAGAATTAGCATCAACTAAAATGTTTCAATAACTTATGTAATATTTGTTATAATGCATATCACAAGTGCTTATTATGATTGACATTTTAGAGCAGCTAAATTAAAATGAAGCATTGATATGTAACTTACCAAAAATCTTTGCATTAGTATGAATTTTTTAATTTCATGCTTTCCATAGCATAGTAATAGAATAACATAGTAATATAAATACCTCAAGCATAGATTGTGTTCATATAGAAACAAAACAATATGCACTGATAACCTAGCTGTTTACAAATCTTCAAATTTAATTTTTATTCTTATTATGAATCAATTAAAATTATTATGAGTGAGTAACAAAACCATTACTCACCTTGCTTAATTCCGACTTGGGGAACAATATGGGATATGAGATGGGGCCCCGCCGTAATATGTTGAGTGAGAGCGGGCACCGTAGTCACTACTCGTAAATTTGGCTGTACAGAATGCCTCAAAGTCAAAGGTGAAGCCTGAGGGGGCTTTACGATGCCAGATGTCTCCATTGGCTTTGTCGGTGGCGGTTTGGAAGCTAAATCCATTGGATAAGTCTTGTCTAATATGGATTTATCACTCTCCTGGTTATTCATAGCGTTTCTAATACACACTGTTTATAGTTTGCTACTCATTTATAATCAGTATCACTATCAAACCAACCAGCTGATTTATTGGAGGGACAATTTACAAATAAAAATATTAGATTATAAACTACATTTTACCACTAATTATACACCACACTGTTTACCCATTTTAAACGTACGTTCGCACGATATATTTTAGAATATCACTCATTATTTTGCTTACATTATTATGAAGTTTAAAAAGAAATTTTAAATGTATTTATTTCTGTTTTCTTCACGCAATATAAAATGGCTTCCAAAGTTATCCATCGCTAGCCGTATTACTAGCTATACACAACAGAGAATAACACACTACCACAAAGTTGAATTTTACTCGAACGGGAATGGGATACCTCCAAAACATACAGTAGTAAACACACATATCTACGCATATGCCAATCTTCCCAAATATAATCTGATCGTCCTATCCAATGGCGTGCCTCGGACGCTCGTCTACGCTCTTACTACGCTTTTTAAAATAAACAAATCACTCGCTGTATGTCATTCATTGTCCGTTTGATTTTTAATTAATAACTTTTGTTTTTTAAACTCTAAACATATATATAGACATTTATTACATAGATTCTTCAAGTAACTGTTCGTAAACAACATTCATGAGTGAGTCAACATTAAGGTATATTTCAACATGTGAATTGTTTACGTATTATATAAGTATATAACCCATTACTAAAATTAATGTAATTTTTTATAATGGCCTTAAACCTTTTCTCAGGAACTCGTCATTGCAATCTATCACGGCTGTAAAGTTTTAGAACATCGGAAGTTGTTTACATGCCCGCCACCACAAGTTGGAATAGAAATTAATTTGTTAAATGGTAAGAATTTGCTATAAATTAAGCAAACAATTGATCAAAAGGCCTTGAATTAGTTTTTTATTTCTGATGAACAAAACTCATTTGATATCAAAGTTTTGTTTCAAGCGATTGTCATCGAAATGCATATGTTGGCAACAACTTTTACAAATGTCATTCGTTGAAATCCTTTGCGTGTGACGCTTGTCTTTTGATCAGAATTTTGTAATAGTGTGCTAAATTATCTATTATTGCAAGCTTAAAATTAACACTCGGTTTTGTTTTTAAAACAGTGTTTTATCAATTATCTTCTGGGATAGTGTTTTGTCAATTTCGTCATAGTAACAAGATTAGGTGAAAGTTGAATCATTAAGTTTGACAGAACGGTACCAGATCAAATTCATCTAAAATGGTAATATATATTAATATTAATATATATAAAAGTTTTCAATGAATGATCAAACAATAAATCTGTTTTTATATTGCAGTCTACATCAGAGGTAGAGGAAACTATGAAAAGGATTCAATCCCATAAAGGTGTTGTTGGCACAATAGTTGTTAATGCCGATGGTAAATAAATTTCTAATAAACTTATAAATGGTGATAAGGTTCATAATTAGTCAATTTTAAGGTATTCCTGTTAAGACCACAATGGATAATACAACAACTGTCCAATATGCTGGCTTGATAGGACAATTATCTGATAAGGTGTGGTTGTGAATCAATATTGATTGAGTACATAAATCTTAAAATAATCTTTTTTTTAGGCTCGCAGTGTTGTTAGAGATCTGGACCCCAGTAATGATCTTACATTCTTAAGAATTCGATCTAAAAAACATGAAATCATGGTAGCACCTGATAAAGAATTTATTCTCATAGTTGTGCAAAACCCAACGGACTAGGCTATTAAATTATAATATTACTAATTTATTTAATCAAATAATAATCTATTCAATATATTAAAAATAAAAATGCAAATTATATTTATTATTTTTTATTTTGTAATGCCACAAATATAACACTATCACAAGAACATGGATTTGGTAGATAACCTGTTTAAAAGTGTAAAACAAGATTTATAATTAAAATTTAAAATTAAATGTTATGATTTAGAAGTTTCACTTTGTTCTTTGTTTTTTCTTTGCGTCTCCTATTTGGAAAGAAAAATAATAAATCAGCAAGTTTAACATTAAATTATTCGAAGAAAATTTCCTGACACTACTTTCTTTAAATATTTATTGTTCACATACAATACATTAATTGTTCATTTTGAATATTTTATTTAGCTAGGTGTGTTATTACACTAAATGATTAAATGTGTTTACAACGAACTATTTAAATACAACTATTACATTTTTAATTTATGAAAGTCAATAAATTAAAATTTTGCTGTTAATTATTATACTATTTTTACTGCATTTATAATTAATTTTTAGTAAATTAAAAAGTTAAAATATTTAATATATTGTAATAAATTGAAGTAGTGTTTCTTTTAGACAAACATTAATGAATTAATATAAAAAAGATTATAGTACCACCTATGTATAATTTTATATATATATATATAAAGAAAATTAAATCTCACTCGATTTTAAAGATAATAAAATAAAATAAAGTTACATTTATAATAATGTAAGATTAAATTGTAAATTCTTATTTAATTATATTTCAAATTAAATATGTTAATGTCGAACTTTAAATGCAATTTCATTTATATTGCACGATTTATTTTGTAGGTCTTGAGTAAGGGGAGCTACGATAACGCGTATCGCGGGTGCTCACGTGACGGCTAGTTAGAGACGGTTCCTCAACACGGCCCTTAGAGGAGCTGTACGACTTCCAGCGGGAACTTCCTGTATCTTCTGAATAGTTTTAATATTTTGTATAAAACAAGGCTTATCGAGTAACAGTTAACCGTATAAGAGTGATTATGTTTAATTTTTATTTATATTTGAAATTTATGCACCGATGTTTCTTTTTTCTCACTTCATATGTTTTAGAAAAGAAGTTTAAATTTGCAACACTCGTTTTGTTTGATACGCGAAATGGGAAAAACTTAAAGTTTTTAGAAATTTTATTCTTTTTACGCCTTTTTAATAAAAATAGCACAGTTAAAGATAGCTGTGAAAATTAATTTTCATTAAACTGAATAAACATTTTATAAAATACTCACCTTCATAATCCATACCACGACGATAAGCATATTCACCATACTCCGCTGGTTCATAATCAGCTGGATGTGCAGGAGCACTGTATCTCACTCTAGAAGAAGGGGGCGGTGGTGCAGAATATGAATAACTATCTCCTCCTCCATAAGAGCTTTCGAATGGTGGTTCTTCATATCTTGAATAAACAAGATTTTATTGCATTTGAACGAAATTAGAAACAAATTTGCACTAATGAATACCAAAATGGAACACTACTTCCAATATATAGGTACACCACATAAAAGTGTTATATTATTATATGCACATCATTCAAAACAACAACTCACCCATAGCTCTCCTCCATGGCAACTCTTGCTCTATCTAAAATGGAAAGTATCTTAGTTTTAGCAGGCATAACACGAGGTGTAGGTACGGGTGATCGAGGCCCGGATACAACATTAGAAACACCAGAAAGCATACCCCCAGATGGTCGAAGACTGCCACGACTGCTGGAAAAAAAATTAATAGTTGAAGCTTAAAATGTTAAACTATTGATTGAAACAATTCAATATGTGGAATGTGAATATCAAATTTAAAAAAAATAATAATCAATCATGACTTGAACAATAATTTTAATGTTAAAAAAATATCACCCAACAATACAAAGATGTTGGAATGGAATTTTACCTTAGTAATCCTCCTCCACGAGAAGCACCACCAGCCATACCACCTCGTCTAAATGTGGGTGCTCCTCTCATTTCTTCTGGCGGTGCATTGGGTTCAGTCATCATTTCACGCATTTGTTCTTGGCGAATTGTATCATTATTATCAGGGACCAAATATTTACGGACCTTCAATTAAATTACTATTATAGCAAAAATTTTTATATAATAAAGTTATTAGTTTAATAAATTCTTACTTCAGCCAAAGCATAAGCAACTCGAGCGTGAGCTTCTGCTGGAGGACCCAAAGCCGATATTTCAACATGTAGATCATCAGCCAAATGAGCATATTTGGGATCTAAGGAATTACGAAGTTCTTCTTCCTAACAAATATATATTATGGTTGTATAACAGTAATGAAAAGAAATGTACATTTATAAAATATGTCCATAAGAATTGCACCAAACTATATAAAAATAACAAATTCTTGTCAATTCATAAAAAGATTAAAGAAGCAAACCAAAATATTCAGGAATGTCTGTGCAGGTCACACAAATTATTCAAGCATGCATAGCTAATTTCAGAGTCTATAATAAAATGTTGCAAGTGAGAATGTATAATATATTAAGTGGCAGTTATTGATGAAAATAATTTTCGGCACATAAAAAATATATATTTATTGTTGTACCTTTTGTCTGTCTTTCATTGAGCCTCTACCTAAGACGGCCATCTTACACATAGTATCTTCTTGTAATCTTTTCATGGAATTACCCTTAGGTCCCAACAGTTTTCCAACAAAGTTGAACTAAAATATTAACAATACATTAAAAAATTATAGTTACATACAACATATCAATCATTTGCGCAAAACAATTACTTTAGGGTGCTCTCGGACCGGCACAAGCACTTTGACCGACACTTTGATTGGTTTTTCTCTATATATATCGACATACTTATTTTCTCTGTGAGGCAGCTTTCCTTCAGTTTGAGCTCTGTTGACCTCTACAAATAAAAAAGATAGTTTTGATAACCAATGTCATAAAATCAATATTCATATCGACGCCATTTATACTTAAAGCATATTAGTCTTTACGACGCCATTTTATAAAAGAACAATAACAGTTATAAAATATTTGTAAAATACCTTGGTCTATCAATCGAAGTGTGTGGCCCAACTTGTGATCAATATTAAGCTTTTCGCCTAAAAGCTCTTTAACGTAGTCATTGATTTTGCTTTCACCCGGTGCGTTGTTGGTATCTTCTTCCTCTTCAATTCTCTCATCTTCTGTTTTTGATTTTCTTTTAAAATCACTTGATCCTGCACCCTCATAGTTTTTATAATCGCCATTGGTTTCATAAGAATCGCCCATGGTAAAATATAATAGATACTTTGATTACACGAATAAAATACGTAGCTCCGCTCCGCTCGAAAGTTCGAAGGCAAATGGCGCAGCGCTTACGGGGAACTAGATAATGAACCTTCTTGTTCGATCGTAAAACCATAGATAAAAAAAGATCGGACACCATGCAAAAAACACGAATAATCACGAAAAAAATAGATATTTTTTAGATATTTTAATTATTTAATATATTATTTACATAAAAAAAATGAAATATTTGATTCAAATTTCTTTTTTAAGATTTACAATTTATATGTATAATCTTCTTCATCTCTTCTTGTATCTATGTGTGTATGTATAATTTGGGTTGAATATTAACGGTAATCTGTACTGCAAAATATAAATTATATACCAGACAAACATAAATGCGATATTTATTATATATAAATAAAATAAATATCGCATTTATGATATAATATTTTAAATAAATATTATATATGCAACAAATGAAAAAAAACGATTTAGTTAATTCTTTATTATATATATAGAATAGAAAGAACATAATAAAATAGAAACACTTCCGTTGTTAATTATCGAAACACTTGCAAGAATTTTTCAATAATAACATATTAAACAATAATAATTAATTCCTATTCAAAGAAGTTTAATTTCATCTATTATTGATTATATAGATATAATGAATATAAAACCAGAAATTTAAATTTTGCTATTCATAAATCATGAACAAAAATATATACCTCCATATATTAAAAATATATGAAAGAAAATACGTCCTGATATACTGTTATGTATTTTCATATTATCATATTATAAAAAATAAACTAAAAACTAACTTTAAATCAACAATATTGAACAAAAAATGTATAAATGTGATCCGAATTTTGACCATATTTGTCGATGTTATTCAAAAATGGCTCAGCCGATTTAAAAATATTAAAAGCTATTCGATAAGACCTTGTTAATTGATTAATGTGATAATTTTCACAATTAGCAATTAGATATAATTAAATAATTTGTCCAAGTTCTGACCAAAAATCCTGAATCGATTTTCAGATCAGAATCAGATGGAAATCGTGCTGATTAATTTTTGGCATTCTAAATGCATTTTGCATTTTTAATTAAACTTGATATACAAACTCTTTATACAATTAATACAATTACTTGCACTAATAAAATATGAATTTAATAATTATTGAGCTATAATCCATAATCAATATGCTAAACATTTTTATTTTACATTAATGATTAGCGATTATATGCTTACACTTTTATATCAGAAGATGATCAGAGGTAATACCGTCATCATCGATTCAATTATTTGAAATATTGATTTAATATGAAATCCAAAACTAAACTTTTAATTTAAAAACCATCTAGCATATATAAAAGAGATGAACTTATTTTTAGATATCTTCTTTAAGGGATAAACTTTCTTGTATTTTTGTACTAAATATAAGTTTTATAAACCACGTATAACAAAAATTCTTATCATAAGTAAATTTTAATGAAGTTCAAAGCTTTAGGATTTCTTTTTAATGGCAAAATTATTTAATTCAATTACAAAAGTTAGAATTGTTAATTTATTATAGAGATTCTGGAGATTTTTTGAAACTGCACATATACTTTTGGCAAAAAATCCATATAGTTAGCAGATTTTAATAAAATGATTATTATTATTAATAAATGATAATTTTTTAATAAAATACAGTTAAAGATTTTTTTGATAAATTAGTTTTTAAATGCACGAAATCTGAAAAAGCTGCCTTAGAAAAAATAGATATGATGTATATTTTATATCAAAAGCCTATTTGAAGTTTTGGTAATTTATGTAAATATAAATAATTGCTTTTGGAAAAAAAGTTTTTGTTTCAATTTTTTTTCAGAAGATTTTTTTTTTCAAAAACAACTTTTTTTGTATATCGAAAATAGTTTAGATTTTATTTTTAATTCTGACTAAAGTTCTAATAAACTTTAAACAAATAATTTCAACTTTGCAATTCAGTTTATATTATTCTTATAAATGTTCGACAATGTTACAATATTTATAATAATCTATTAATTAAATTTAAAGACATTTAATATTCCTCGAATATTTCGTTACGGTAAGGGAAGTTTCAGCAATTTGCCTTAAGGCACGATGCCATACACCACTAGTTTAATTACTTATTTAAAAGTAAGATTTGCCTGCAAGATCAATATCATTTACAAAAAGTAAACTCTTCATTCATTCATTCATTTTTAAAACTCGCGCTATTTAATTTTCACAACATTACTCCCATCTATTGTTAACCTTGTAGTTTATCTTCGCCACATGACAAAACGCGACATAAACATAACCTTAACGACGTTCTCAATTCTTATTCGAGGCATGTTTATTTACATGTGTAAAATTTTATAAAAAATATTTAACAAGTTAGTGTGACAGCAGTCGTTTGAAAAAAAGATTTTGTTAATAAAAATGGGAGGACAAAAAAGAAAACGAGGTAATATATTTGCCCAGAAAAAAAGGAACAAAAAAGAAAATAAGGTAATATTAAATTGAGGTAATTAATTCACGTATAAACTATTTAAATATATCCATAAATTTGCAACTATTTATTTTAGAGGCCTGTTACTGAAGCATCGAAACCATATGTTGATATTGTTAAAGAGAATGAAAGTTTCATAAAATATTACAAGGTATATACAAACATTTTTAACTAACAAAAATAAATGAATTCTTATTTTGCTTTATTATTATTTATAGTCCGCTGGTATCTGTCCAGATGAAGAATGGGACACATTCCTTAGTTTTATAAAACAGGATTTGCCCACATCATTCCGTGTTACAGGCAATATCAGTGAGGCTAATGCTCTTCTCAAGTTAATCAAAAGCCAATTATTTATGGAAGAGTTAAAAGGAGATGGTGATAGACTACCTGTAAAACCATTCTGTTTACCATGGTAAATATTATAATTAAAAAAAATATTGTTAATAAATTTTATGCTATTTGCATTAAAGCTTAAATATTATATGTATTGATTACAGGTATCCCAACGGTTTGGCATGGCAATTGCAATTGACACGAAAAGATATTAGAAGATCAGAAGCCTATTTTAAGTTACATAACTTCTTGATTTCTGAAACAGATGCTGGTAGCATTAGCCGGCAGGAAGTTGTATCAATGATACCTCCCATAGTCTTAGATGTTCAACCTCATCATAAGGTATCACAATGAAATAATTAATAAGGCATTTTCAAAATTATTTGGAATGAAGCTTAATGTAAAAAAATATATAATTATATCACTATATTGTTGTTAAAAATTCATTTAAATTCAGGTCTTAGATATGTGTGCTGCTCCTGGATCTAAAACAGCACAGCTTATTGAAAGTCTTCATAAAACAAATGGCAATGGTGAATTGCCAAAGGGATTTGTTATTGCAAATGATGTTGATAATAACCGTTGTTATATGTTAGTACACCAAGCTAAAAGACTGAATTCACCTAATATTTTAATAACAAACCATGATAGTTCCCTATTCCAAATTTAAAAGTGAGTAAACTAGGGATCTTAATATATTTTTGATTCTATTTTACTGAATTATCATTTGTAGGTACAAGACAATGGCATTGACAAAAAATTAAAATTTGATAGAATTTTGTGTGACGTACCTTGTTCAGGTGATGGAACTCTGAGAAAAAATCCAGATATATGGCTTAAGTGGAGCGCTGCAAACGGAGCAAATCTGCATGGGTATATATTAAATAATATATAAAATAAACTTTGTTTTAATGATTAAAATGAATTTAATAAAATATATAAATTTAAATGCATGTATTAATCTGAAGTATGAAAACTCTGTTTTTAGAATTCAGTTTCGTATCCTTAGAAGAGGAGTGGAATTATTGGAAATTGGTGGACGTTTAGTTTATTCAACTTGTTCCTTAAATCCAATGGAAAATGAATCAGTGGTACATCGAATACTTAGTGAAGCTAATGATTCTTTGAGGCTATTGCCGGCATCTGAGTTAGTGCCAGGATTAAAGTATTACCCAGGTGCGTGTGTTACCAGTTGGGGTTTTATATATAGTATTGTAAATTAAGATTATTTATATACCCACAGGTATGTCTAAATGGCGACCAGCATCAAAGGATTTGGTATTTTATAATACATTTGAAGAAGTACCTGAAAAATGGCAAACATGCATACGGCCTCAAATGTTTCCACCTAAACCAGAAGATGCAGATAAATACTGTTTAGATAAATGGTATATAAATATAAATAAATAAATAAATACATATATATATATATATATATATATATATATATATAAATAATATGAAAATCTTTTTTTATATAGTTTAAGGATTCTTCCTCATCTACAAGACACAGGTGGATTTTTTGTAGCTTTATTTGAAAAAGTAAGCAACATGCCATGGGAGGCTAGTGAATCAGTAAATCAAGAAAATAAAGTTAAATCAGAAGAGTCTCTTGAAAATAGTACTGTTTCTACCACCTCAATAAATCAGGAGGATAAAATCAAATCAGAAGACTCTCTTGAAAATAGTAACGTTCCGGCTACAGAATCCAGTACAACTAAAGAGGAAAAATCTGTTCCATGGGGACCACAACGTAAAAAGAATCGAATTGGGGGATATAAAGAAGATCCTTTTGTATTTTTCAAAGAAAATGAGGATGTATGGCAATCAATTAAAGAATTCTATTTTTTGAATGATCAGTTTGATCCAACATGTTTACTAACCAGATGCTTAGTTGGCAAGAAGAAAAATATATATTTCTGCTCTCCTGGTGTGAAAGATCTCGTACTCAGAAATGAATGTAGAATTAAAATTATCAATACTGGAGTAAAAACATTTGTGAGATGTGACAATAAGAACATGAAATGCCCCTTCAGGTAAATAAATTAAGAGTACAGATTAAGATTGGTTTTTATAATTATATGGAAGTCAAATATTTAATTAAGAATATAAGATTTGAAATAATAATCATTAATTATATTATATTTTTTACCAGGTTGGCACAGGAAGGGCTTGGTTCATTATTTCCATTTATTGGTGATGAAAGAAAGTTCACATTATTGAAAGAAGATTTAGTTGCTCTTTTGCAATGTGATGATCCTACGCGGCCACCAGAAATAGAATCCTTATCTGAACATATCCAGAACCAAGTAAAAGATTTAAGTAAGTTGATTTCAACTTTTAATTATCGCTTTCATATTGTACCTAAAATTAATGAGTGCATAATTTTGAATAATTGTTTATAGGTGGTGGTAGTTGTGTCTTGACATACACCAATGAAGAATTCTCATTGAAAATGGTTGGTTGGCGCGGTACGAAATCACTGCGTGCATACACTGCTCGGGAAGATACTATTCATATGCTGAGAATTTTGGGAGCTGATATTTCTAAATTTGGTAAGATTTTTTGTAAATATGCTCTTAAAGTAGATTGTAAGAGATATATTTTGGATGTTTTACTATGAAAATTTTTAAATATTATGAAGTAATGCCACAAGTATCACAAAACTAACTGATCAGTTTCAATCCTCGAGAGTGTTAAGATACTATAGTATAGTATACATAATATATTTTATATATATTTATGCTACACTTACTATATATTAAGGAAAAAACTTTGTTAGTTATAAACAAATTATATTATCTCATATATATAATTATAAACCTTGATTAATGCAACAATTTTTTTTATATAGATATTAACAAATTCAAAAAAACAGAAACAAATGAGTCTAGTACAATAGAGGAAACTAATTCAACACATGAGCCATGTGAATCGACTAGTCATTTAGAAGAAAACGAATCGTAATCTATTATGAATGCTTGACAAAAATAATTTATTAATGGAGGCTTTTTATTTTATGATTTTTACTTTTTAACTTAGATTTAAATAAATAATTAACTGTTATTTTACCTTAGCTAAATTGTATTATCAATAAAGATGTTTTTTAATTTATTTCAAACATTTTTTGTCATTTGTATACTTGTTTAAGTTTGAATTTTGATTTTGAAATACAAGAGTTTAAAGAAAGTATGAAGAGGGACGGATATAATGGTTAATGTAATCTTTGTAAATATGCAGGGATAGATAGTTTCTTTGCAAAGTATATTACTTCAGAATAAGTTTTTATATTGTGATTTCATAATAGATATTGGCAGGAATTATTAATTGTGTGCATAAATTTTTCAATAAATTATATTAAATTTTGCATGTATAAAAATATCTAACATTTAAGAAGTAATGAAAACGCATGTAATATAATATATTAATTAATTAGAACAAACTGGACTTCAACGATATATGTGAAATAACTTTTTATAAATTATAAAATTACATTTTATAAATGTAAAGTTATTCTGATGTAGTTTTTTACATCTAGGTCTTTCAACTAAAGTTTCGGTTATATAATAATAAAGAATTTCCAGCTATTTTTTTTCTTAAAATTATGCCTTCATTACCTGTTAATTCTGGAAACCATATATATAACTCATAACTTAAGACCGATAAACTTGTTAAAAGATTCCTTTCTCTTAATGTTATTTGGACATCCATTTATTTTCAGGTGATCAATCCATTCATCTTCTTTTATATCTTCTCTACATAGAGGACATCTTTCACAGCCAACACCTGGCCCTGAAAAATGTTTAAATAAAAGTATAATTTTAACAGAATTATTAAAAAATATATATTTTTTAATAATTCGTCATTATTACATACTTTTACAAGAAAATTCTGCTGTATGCTTTTTATAATCATCCATATGAACCATTTCCAGACATTTAAGACACTGATGAAAGTTATCTTTATATTTGCAGTCCTCTAAAATATTAATTTGATGTAAATAATGCATGCTTAATAAAATGTATGCATATTTCATATTTAACCTTTCAAATGCTGCATAAAATATGAAATTTCAACAATTTGTTGACATTCTGTGCAGGAAGTCAACATTGGACAATGTCGCCAATAATGTTGATCTAGCTGATTCCAGCTTGAGTTTTTATCACTCCAGCCACAAAATGAACACTGTCTGTAATAAATAATTACGTAATATAATAATTAACTGAGATGAACAAATAAGCATTAAACATCAATATTAATTATTAGAAATATAATATTTAAAAATCATTGTTTATCTACTTACATGATGTCATTATTGGAGACTTCTGCCACATTTGTGATTTTATCTTGTTTATCATATCTGGCTGATGCAGATTTTAACATAGAAGAATTTGCTCGTTTGTCATTTTTTATTGCTGAATAATAATTTGCATCCGTTTGCTTTGTATTTGCCTGGTTATACGGTTCAAATACATCAGTGCCATTTTTAGCACCAGCATGAAAAAGTGTCTCTTTTTCATCATATTTTGAATTAGCATTATATTGCAAAGCATACGAGACATTCTTCTCACTTTTCCTTAGACTGTTAATTGAACTTTTGTACTGATGGGCTAAACCAATATCATCATTTTTCAGTGCAAGTTTTTCTATCGGTAAAGTATTTTGTTTTAACTGAGATTTGGTTTGAAGATTATCTATCCTGCGCTACAATTGAATTTATTATAATATTAACTAGTCAATAGTAATAATTAAATTATATTTATTGATTATACTTGTGTGTCAATTTTATCAAATTCCTGAAATAGTTGCCTATAGAGTAAATTTCTTCGTGTTATATCATCATCAGGAGGAAGTTGCTTTCGCACTAATCTAGGATTAACTTTGTATACCTAAAATTGAATAATATATATTTAATATTCTTTACATCATCTTAAATTAGTACGAATATTACCTGTAATAATATTCTTTCGGCGACTTTTCTAACTGGCTCCGATGGATGATGTAAACCAGAGCAACCGCATTCGCTCAATGTGCGACACGTTAAGCCACTGAAAAAATAATATTTTAAAATAAATTTCATTAATTAAAATTTATTTAAGATATTAAAATATAGATCCATCACCTCTGTTTATCCTGAGATATTCCATAACTTAATATCATTTGCTCTAAAATTAATAACCTACTCAAAGCTAAACGAGGATGCGTAGTATTGCTCACAGTTCGACTAAGCGCTGGAGCTATCAAGTTCTGTGTTCTAAAAAAAATTAAATTGGAATATTATTTTGTTCAAATTATTTATATTAACGCACTTACTTGACTTCTTCGCAAGCTGCAATACTTAAGATCGTATGTTGGGCCAGGTTGTTAATTCGAGGACTGCTGTCGCCGCATCTGGTTAATAGTTCTGGTAGAAGGCGATCGACAGTTCTTGCAACTTCACTCATTGATACCCTGCAAGTTAAAAAAATACAACCTCGGAACAAGCATTTTTTTTCCATCATTAATTTTGAGTTGATATTTTTACTAACCTGCCCGGAATAAAATCTGTGAACAAGGTCCGCACTGTTTCTGCTGCACAACTGTAGACTGAAAATACCGGATCACGAATGGCTCGGTGCAGCAACAAAGAAGCTGCACGCGCCTGCCTATTGGCACCATTCATATCTCGTAGCACTTCCCGCAGCCGAGTCAAACCCTCCTCGCGATCACTGAACTGTTTAGAGTAAAATAGTTCAACCTAGAAATAAATATAATAAAAATCAATAAACCGTTGAATCAGTAAATCATTAGGAAATCGCTCTATGATAGACAAAGAGTATCGTAGGAACACGAAGATAACCGTTAAAATATTAAAAAAACGCTCGTTGGACCCACACGCTCTACTGGCAACCAGCGTTGATAGGAGAAGTTTTAAGAATTATTAATTATCAATATATAATACAGAATAAATAACTGAACAATAATTATTGTTTGGTTTTACAAAAATTATACATACCAAATCATTTCCGAAAACTAGTATGGCCAAAGCAGCTTGTCTCCGTTCTCTTTCACTTAAGCGACTTCTTCCTCGACTTTCGTTTGTGACAACCTCTGCTGATGAACATTCCCGAAGAAATTCGTTAGTCTGCGAACTATCAATAAATATATCATTAAAATTCATAATTAATATACAATTCTATTCTGAAACCTTATGTTACTTCAAATATTCAAACAAGAAATTATTAGAGGTACAAATCGTTTGCATTTGACCATTAGAACGTTTCTTCAAAAGGTAAAATAATAATAATTATTAAATCAGCTTAAGCTAATTGTGACAGTTTTGATTTATATTAATACTAACTGCCTCAATGCTGGAATGGCTCTCTCATCATAATCATCAAATGTCGAATGTGGTACACTTTTATTTCTTTTCCGTATAGTTGCGACTTGTTGCGCAATGGTTATTGGACTAGCTGAAATTAAATATAAATTGGTATTTAAATAAATATCAAACACTCATCAATCAAATTTTCATGTCTTATTATTAACTGACCTCTAGGACTGCATCCATTGAAACATAAACTAGGCGAAGATGTACTAGCGAATGTACAATTTTTTCATCTTCTTTTTGATTTACTGAACTCACAGTATTTGCCTCTGGTGTAGGTGTGCCATTTGATAAAAGTTCTGCTATTTGATGCATGCTAGGAGCTGCCGGAAGAACTTCTATCGGCTTAGAATTCGATTCAATACATTCGTCATTGGATGACTCATGCTAAATGGTAAGATATTAATGATTAATTTTACAACAGTAATGGTATCTCAATCTAAATTCGGAATATTTATAATTATTCTTACCCCGTTAACCTCAAGTAATACATCAATGTCCAAAGTTTTATAAACCGAGCGTCTATAAACTTCAATTTGTTCTTTGCGCAAAGTGGCCTTTTGAAAGTCTTCCGACAAGGCTGCCATTTTTTTGGCCAGTTCGTATCGACCCATTCGCTCACCAGCCTCTCGCAAACAGGACATCGCAGATTTCAAACGCCTGGCATATTCAAATCGTTCATCTGATAAAAAGAAAAGTTGCCAATTCAAAATAATTGCTTTATTATTGAATTATCGTTCAAAATCTTAAATCCTGATTTAATAAGAGTATTTTTAACCTTTGACTGCATTTTCTTTCTTAGACTCCATTGTCCTTATAATATCAGCAACTCCCTTTTCAACATACATGGAAAATGAAAGATCGTCACACATTGATAAACGCTGAGATTTCAAATCCAATTCTTCAATTTGTCCTTCTTTAAATAGAGGATTAGAAGGTTCTTCTCCCAAAATATTGACAGCAATCAACGCAACCTAAAAGATTTATTTTTCGTATAAATTGAAGAAAATTGTTTATTCATTTCATTCGTATTTATACAAAACCTGGTTATCCTTATTGTGAACATTTTCGTGGTTGCGACTAAGTTTTAACTTGAGATGAGTACCTAATCTGGGACCAACATCCACATTTTGCAATTCTCGAACTTTAAATTCAGTTGATGAATTGTCAGACAAAGACAGGTATCCTAAATAGTCATACTCCTGGCTGCTTGGTGTTTTCGGTTCTGATGTTTGTTGGTAATGCAACCACAACTCTAAACGTTCCGCTGTAAAAGATATTTAAAACAACTTTATTGGATACTTGGAGGAAAGTCAGACTAATTAAAATATGAAACGAACTACTTACGTATGAGATATTGGTGGGCCAGCACCTGAATTCTAGTAACCAATGCAGGATATTGCATCCGCAATACAACTTCTTGTGGATATGGACATCCAGGCGCTGAATGCCAACCGCGAACTGCAGGTCCATGCTGATTCAATTCCGATACTGGATGACTAACAGATTCTCCTTTTTTCGAAAACAATTATAAATTTTTAAGATTCTGCTTTATATTTAAATATCGAGCTACAACGCAGTGTTAAAAATAATGCAGAAGTTAAATTCAATTTCATCGATAAATTTAAGTTTCTAGTGAAAGCGGAATAAAGTTTTGTTTATCGAATTACACATATAATTAAAGTTGTTAAATATAATAATATAATTATATTATATCATTATTGGTTTTAGCGTGCCCTCAATGCACTAATAAAAACGTGTCCATGATAGCAAATAAAAAATGCATGCCAATTAATTCAAATTTATTTAAATAAAGTTTATTATATTTACCTGTTGCGTAAGCTACTTGAAATGGAATCTTTTTTGGCATAATTTAATAAGCACTTAATTTTTATAAATTATTGATAACACACGTGACAGAATTTTTATATGCAAAAATATACACGTGATTTATATATTTCGAATTTTAAAACTTCATGAACATTGTTAATGCATAGTTTAAAATCGTTTGCAAAATGCATTATCCACTTTTATCATCGTGTTATTGCACACTTTAAATTCTTGGTGCTTCAGAGATGTTCTAATTTGCCCTACTGCAGATAAATCAATAATATGCGCGCAGCTTTCGTAATATGTAAAGATTTGGTCACACACAAAAATTAAAAATAGAGAAATGTACAGTATAGATAATATTATATTCAAATTGTGACAATTTTGTCATTCCCAATTCAATTAGTTAATTTTACTAATTATCCAATTAATATTTGGCTTATGCAAATATTGCATAGTAATACTGTTTCAAATTGCAACATAGCGTTGCATATATATTTTTTATGTGCAAATATAAATAAAATAATATCTAAAAATTGATAACAACCGTTAAATTAAATTTGATACACTATCCATAAAGACGGTATAATTAAAAAGTTTCTAAACCCTGCATTTTTGACAACAAATGTGATATTCTAACCTCTTAATTAGTGTCAATCCCTAATATCATATTCTTAATTGTAGATCGAATTTTGTGCTTGAATATTATTGTAAAGTACAAATACATGATAATGAAAATATTATAACACTCACGCTTAATCGAAATGATTTTTTTATCCAAATCATTCGGTTGTTGCGCAAGGATTAGTAGAATAAAGGAAAGAGATCGAATACCACAAATATTACAAAGTTCTATTAGAAATTATTCTCATATATTCACCGATAAATATAAAAAATATTATGAAATTGATACAAGAAACAAATTATATAGAAATACAAGCAGGTTTCAACACACAGAGCAAAATGACTTTTTCAAATACTTATCCGATAGCACTCCAGTGGAAACAGCTCAGAATTATCTAGTCACATTTCATGATATCTCAGGATTACCTTGGTGGGGATCAATTATTCTGTCAACTATTATGATTCGTACTTTGATAACATTGCCTTTAGCTGTTTATCAACACTATATTATGGCAAAATTACAAAATTTGAGATTAGAAATGCCAGCTATTGTAGAAGAATTAAAAATGGAAACCGCAGTTGCTATGAAAAGATTTCATTGGACTGAAGAACAAGCTAAACTGATGTTCAAGCATTCCCTGAAGAAACAATGGAATAAGTTGGTTGTTCGAGATAATTGCCATCCTTTTAAAAGTACATTGCTATTATGGATACAAATACCTATGTGGGTATTCATTTCCATTGCTTTGAGGAATTTGACATACATGTTACCAAAACAAACAATTGAAGCACAGATTGCATTCAACCAACTTTCACTTGAAGGATTTCTATGGATGCCAAATTTAACAGATTTTGATCATTCATTAATTTTACCAATAGCGCTAGGAATATTCAATTTGGCATTAACAGAAATACATGTAATGTTAAGAACGAACCCACAATCAAAATTACAAAAATATATTACCAACTTCTTCAGAGGTCTGAGTATTTTAATGATACCAGTTTCAGCATGTGTGCCATCAGCTTTGTGTTTATACTGGACAACATCCACTCTTTTTGGTTTATGTCAAAACTTATTGTTAATATCACCAAAATTCAAACGCCTCTGCAGAATACCACAAACTACTTCAGAACTTAATAAACCATATGAGCATTTATTAGTTCGGATAGGTGAAAGATTTTCTGTATTTAAAAAAAAATAAATAGTAATAGAATTAAAGTCAATATATTAAATAATTATAAAATTAACAACAAAAGTAGCAATCACGTGAAACTTTGAATATGGAAATAAAAGTATCATTTTCTTTATACTATACTGGTAGCTTCAAACACATGTGAACTGGTCCTGTCATATCAAAATTAAGATTATTAATTTGGCGTAGCAATGAAATCTTCTTAGTTTTAGAGTGTGATGATTCCAACTCATATAATGTACATAAATTTATTAATAAATTTTCATTTAAACCTCTTACAGGATTTGTGTTAATTGCCTTTTCAAGTAATGCTATGGCTTCTTTTACTTTACCAGAATACAATAAAACAACACCCATGTTATTTAGTACCTATGAAAATATTTTTGAAAAATCAGTAAATCTAATTTTTATGACAATTTCATTTTATATAATCATAAATTCATACCATTATATTTGTAGGATCCAATGATAAAGCCTTTTGAAATATGATAAAAGCTTCTTGCAATGAATTTTGAGCAACTGCAACAAGTCCTTTATCAATCATTTCGCGCAAATCAGGAGCATCTCTAAAAGATAAATAAGAGAATTAACTATTAAACTGTGTGAAATATGCATGAAAGATTAATTTATTAGAATTAATTTGAAATCAAATTTTGGTTTAGATTCAACTGTGTTATAAAAGTTATAAACTGCAATTTTTCTGTAATAATTACTTATTTCAGTTTAAATTTTGACACTTTAATCAAAAATAAATAATACTCACGGATCACGTTTTAAAAGTCTACTTATAGAAAACTGTTTTTCAGCTCCCAATATATCTCCTAACTGAAGCAATACACGTCCATAAACTGAATGTAAGGCGCAACGATGCGCAGCTCCCCAACAAGTTGATTTTGTTAATCGCGTTAAAATTTGAGTGGCTAGGCTATAATTCTACAAAACAATATTTGTTGATTAATCACATACAATACATTAATCACAATTGATATACCTTCAACATCAAGGCAGAATTGATGACAGAATGTAATGTTCTAGCTTCTCGTGTTGTCCACAACCTAATAGATTCTTCTCTGTCTTCATTTGATAAAACTGGTGTAGCTGCACCATATTCATTCAAATTATTGTTTAAGTTCTGAAGTATCTGAAATAAACCAAATTGATAATGATTTCAGATAGAAATAAAACAATTGTATAAGGCTTGATTTACTATATAGTTACTTTCTAGATACCAATATCTACTAATATTTTGAGTCATTTTGAACTTGTTTACTTCATTCTGATTTATTTGAAGCAATAAAATACTTTTTTTGTGCAACCATACCTTTCTTATAACAGCTAATATTTTGTATAATCGATCTAGTGATTCCTTTGGTTTCTGCCAATGAGATGGAAGTTCTGCTAGTAATAAGCGAAATGAAAAACTAGCCATGGATCCTACTTTATTTTCATACAGACCAGAATAATGCTAAAAAGAAGGTAATCAATAATGAATGAATAATGTAAGTATTTACAAAAAAATAGAATTAATACTTGGAAAAATATATCTCTTCGCTCCAACAACCCGAAAGCATCAGCTTCAGTTTTGCACACACTAAATAATCCTATCTTTGCTAACAGTGCTATTCTGGTGAACCAAAGTTGTAACGAATGTGGAGAATGCTTTGCTGGTTGTCCTAATTTTCCATAGCCTAATAAAAGTCAATTAAACCTAGTTAATATATTCTAAAACTATTTGAATTATTAATAATGTATTAATTTTGAGGAAGACGATAACTATAATTTTGTATTGCAATTAGAAAAACATTAAATATTCATACATGCATTCATCAAAAAAATACAAATACCTTGTCCATACACTGTTAGCAGCCTACTTGTTAGATTAATAGCAGCTCTGTAACACTTAGCCTATAGTCATCAAATAACATGATATTTAGAACATTTTTTTCAAGTTATTGTAAATAATTTATATCAATATACTTCAATCAATTTTCTTATTCCCCTTTCATCTTGAGTAACATCAGCATGAGTAAGTAAATTTCTTTGCAAATTTTCACCTCCTAAATGACGGGCAACCAATTCTTCGATAGGATCACTCTGTAGAATTAACATAACATCAAAAAAACATTTTAAAATGTTGATTTATATTTTATATAAATATTGCCATGATATTGCAACTCAATACACTCAAATGTTCAGTAATAAAATTTTGAACATGAATTAGAAAACAAAAAGCGCATATTTTATTTATTAAGGACAATTACATATTTTTCAATAATATGTTCTGAAATATATATACAATATATATATATATATATATATATATATATATATATATATATATTGCTTTAAGAAACTTACTAAATCATCTTGTATAGTCACACCAGGAAGAGTAAGTTGAGTATCATCATTATTACAGGGCCAAGCCTCTCGTCTGCGATCAGACTCAATTATAACATTAGCATTCACATTGGGAATCATCATCAAATCAGGTGAATGAATATTATCTTCATTCAGAGTTTTCATAATACTTTCATTGAGAGAAGAAACATTTTGCCCGAATATATTTGTTGGATTTGAAAAAGATTCGGATTGGAATGATGGGTTAGATGTAATTTCATCAAAGATTGTTCCTGCATCGGCTGATGTACTGAAATATTTGCTTATTGATGGTACCTGTTTATTTCTTTTGTTAACTTCTTTTTGAATATCCATGTTAATTATTTAAAAGATGTTCATATTCTAATTTAGCTAAAATATGTTTCCTGTACCAATGACAGATAAGGGAAAATGAACTGTCAAACTGCTGTTGGTAGACATGACTCTGGTCAACGGTTTACTCAGAATATTTTTTCTCAATTATTTAAGATGTATACTTTTAAATAAATAAAATCATTCGATAAATTAATAGATACATAGATACATATATTTATACATAAGTTACAGAGTCAATTATCGTCAAAAAAATAAATAAATTAAATATATAAATTAATATATTATTACTTTATTGAGTAAATGGTAATCAGGGTTCCCATTAATGTAATCACACGGAATTCGTATGACGTGCATTTTTGACAGTAATAGGTCAATTACTAAGTATTTGTTTGTATTTTCTTCGAATTTAAGACGATCATATTATTTAAATTTTATAATTTTTACCGAAATTTTATTTTCAAAGTGTATTTTTCTTGCACATTCTCGATGAGAGCTAAACGTCCTAAATGTGTGTAAATATTACGATAGATAATTTATGTTCTTGCTGATAAGAACTTGTTTTCGTTGCAAGAATTTTTACTTTTTTTAATCATTTTAAAATCACATATTTAAGCCGCTTTTAATTTTATCGTATAATTTGTTTTTACAAAATGAGTGAGAGGCATAAGGTAAAATCTAAAACTAAAAAGGATGCAGACAAATATTCTATATTGTTGCCTACTTATAATGAGAGAGAAAATCTTCCCATAATAGTATGGTTAATTGTAAAATATATGAGTGAAAGGTAATATTCCACTAAAATTTTAGAAAAAAAAAACTAAAGCATAAATTCAATACTATATTAAATATCTAAGATAAAATAAATTACATTTACATCTTGGTAAAGCTTGATATTACTATTGTCATTATCATGTATTGCTTATTACACAATATGGAACATGGAAAATTAATCTTAAGTTATAATATTTAATGCCGTTTAATCTTCTTAGTGAATATAATTATGAGATCATTATAATTGATGACGGCAGTCCAGATGGGACATTAGAAGTTGCTGAAAAATTGCAAGAACTGTATGGTAAAGACAAAATTGTCTTGCGCCCGAGACCAAGTAAATTAGGACTAGGAACAGCATACATTCATGGTATCAAGCATGCCACAGGAAATTTTATTATAATTATGGATGCAGATTTAAGTCATCATGTGAGATGTAGTTATATTTATTTTTTGTGACTCCTTTCCCTTCTTTACTTTGAATCATCAAGATATGTTAATATTTAACTATTTATTTATATTTTTTTTCAGCCTAAATTCATTCCAGAATTTATAGCCTTGCAAAAATCAAAGAATTATGATATTGTTTCTGGGACTCGATACAAAGGCAATGGAGGTGTAGCTGGCTGGGACTTTAGAAGAAAACTTGTCAGTCGTGGAGCTAATTTTTTAACTCAAATATTACTTAGACCAGGAGCAAGTGATCTCACTGGGTCATTCAGGTAAAAACCATGAAATACCAAAATTGACTTAGAATTATATTTAAATTGAAATTGAATTAAGTTTAAATTTGATGGTTGCATTTCAGGCTTTATAAGAAAAATATTCTGGAAAAATTGATTTCAATGTGTGTTTCTAAAGGATATGTTTTTCAAATGGAAATGATTATTCGAGCCAGGCAATTACGTCTGACAATAGGAGAAGTGCCTATAACATTTGTTGATCGAATATATGGTCAATCAAAGCTAGGAGGCTCTGAAATTATACAATTTGCTACAAGTTTGTTATATTTATTTGCAACTACTTGATTATTATATGATACACATATTTGTAAATAAAAATGTTTAAAAATAAGTAAGTAATTAATTATTTATTTATTAATTATTTGTATGTTTGAATTAAGCATGATTTTCTCAATTATAGAAGACTACTATTGGACATAGCTTGATAAAGTATAAATGACTTTTCTTTTGAATTATTGTTGATATAGAAATCTTCATTTTTGGCAATAAATAATATCATCCCTTTTGATAACTTAACTGCATTTGATTCTGCTTCACCTTCAACAACAATAATTATAGAATCAGAATCATATGCACATTTTATTTTTTCTTGTGTTCCTGGAGGCACTACTACTTTAGCAACTGCAAAGTCTGGAACAGGTGGCTTAAATATTTCCGTATAGTGATTTACTTTGATAGATTTAAAGATAAGCTTATCAACATTGTATCCTTTATAATCAAGTGTTTTTATAAGAGTATCTACATCTTTATATTTAGGTGTTAAACCAGCTCTAATAACATTATCAGAACAAGCCATACATTCAATACAATCACCATGTATATATGCATGTGGAATGTTTGGTCCGAGGTATATAGCTTGCCCTGGTTGAAGATGTAATACATTTAAGAAGTATATACATAAAATTCCCACATCATTTGGAAACTGCTCTTTGAGTTTGTGAAATAAATCTTTATGTACATCTAATTTTATTGAATTATTTTTTAATCGAGCTTCAATATCTTTCAGACATTGCACAACTGCAACATCATCAGCTTTCATTAATGCCTCAAAGCAAGGTTTTAATGTTTCTTCTGAAGGAGATTTCAAGAACAATTCAGCTTTTGAATCTCCAATAAGTTTTTGTAGTTCTGGTAAAGTTTGTATAAACATTTGAATTTCTGAATACACACGAAATCCGCACATAGCTTTGAATTCTGTTAAGGCTATGGCTAGTTCTGGTTTGTGATTTGGGTCTTTATAAACATCTGGTCTCAAAGAATGTAGTCTTTGCGCTTCTTCTTTATTGGGGTGTGATTGAATTGATAAAGCTTTGTTTATTGATAGAACTTTGAATAAAAATGAAAGTTGGCCATTTGTACCATTGATATTTCTAATCCAATTGCTTAAATGCTCATTATTACCTTTGATAATTGATTCTCCATTGGGATGGGTACCCATCCATAATTCGGCATAAGGTTTTGTACTATCTATTGCATATTCTGGATCATTGGACTTTATTAATTGAGCTACTTTGCTTTTTTCTCCTAGTTCTCCCCAAGCATAATTTTGCACCTTACATTTAAGTTCAAACACGTTCATTGTTTTTTGTTTAAATAATAACGTACTTACGCAAATAGATGAAATAATATTCCAATTGATTATTTTTTGATTATGTTATCGATTCATTTATAATAACAAAACATGTGTTTTATTGTAACAATAATTAATCTTTTATTGATAGAATCCAGCATTAGTTTATATTACTGAAAGAACAGTTCAAACAATTATTATCAATTAAAAACACAAATAATGCGATTTGAAAAGCCGCTTATTACTAGTGACGTGGGTCCACGTGGTCGTATATGTCAACATTTGTTAACAAAACCAATGCAGGGTTTGCCAAACTGGTGTAAGAAGGTAAAATTCACGCGCAAAATATAAAATGATTAACTTTAGCGATTAATAGTAATCTTTCTAGACACTCTATTTTAAACCATAGATACAAAACACGATTGCAATTAAAAACTGATCTTTTCCTCCGCGCACAGGAAATCATTCTTCTTAAGAAAAAGTTTTTTTAAAGATCTTAAACTTAGGAAATGATGCTCCGGATGCGCAATATTTTTTGTGTCCCATATATTTATTTACTTTACTTTATTAACTTCCCGTAGGGTAAGCTATAGTAATCGCAAAAAATTGAAAATAAAATTTTTTAGATATCTTTACGTTTCAGAGGTACTGAACATTTTGGCATACCATAGAAAAAATTGATGTATGTGTGTGCGAATACTAATTTTCGTCAACGATTTCGGGAACACGGTTCAACCGATTTCAATTATTCAAAAACCATTCGATTCCTATTAATACGGAGACGTGCTTATTAGTTTTTGTTAAAGGCCATTTAGATCTAGCCGTTTCGAAGATACAGAGCAAAAAGTGCCAAAAACGGTAACCAACTGTAACACAGTTTTCAAGAGAATGGAGCGTTCGATTTCAATAATTCAAAAAACATTTTACTTATATGAAGAACTGATCAAATTTTGGGAAGGCAGGTCTAGCGGTTTCAGAGATCTAGTGAAAAAAGTAAAAAAAATGCCATTTGGCGGTCGAAAATGATCATTTAGACATAAGCACATCAAATCATCAGATATTTTATGATGATTTTAATAATACATATAAATTTTGTTTACATTTCTATAGGTTCCATAACATCGTGTCTCCGTTAGACGGCGACGCAGCGCTTACGCGCTTCGATATTTCGTCTCTCTGCAGTTAAAGTAGTACGATTGCTTTGAAAAAAAGTTCAGAATTTCCAAAATAGTTCAAAATAAAGAAAACGTTTTTTTCAGTCTTTTTTTTCAAAGAAGTGAATTTTTGTCAAAAACTTATTGTTTCTCAAAAATCTAATTTTTTCAAAGTAACATTTTTTCAAAAATGTTAATCTTTTTTAAAATAAAATAATTTTTGGTATGGAAAATTTCAGCAATTTGCCTTACGCTCCCCACTAGTTTATTACCAATTTTTATATAATTTTAATTAAATATTCATGCTGAATTCATGCTTTTATCTTTTATAAAATTCAATCAAATCTAATATTTTCTAATATCTTGTCATTTTTTAAATTTATTTTATTAGGTTTTTATTTTAAAAATAGCTATTTATTAAAAGTATAGACAAGAATGATTGAAGTAAAAGAATACATATTATACATACTCGGATTAAAAATACTGATATTTATTTTTCCTGAAATAAAAGCCTCATGGACGATCCATCTCCTTCATCAGATAAATTTGTAATTGATCTTGATTCACCATTTATCTCGACAGTGGTGATGTTTTCATTTGGGTCAAAATTTCCTGTAAAATATAATTTGAATTTAAAATATATTGTAAATGTGTGAAATGTAGTTTTACTAAACACGACTTTACCATTAAAATTTAATTCATTTCTTAAGTCTAACTGTGCACTAGGATTTCGGCAAAATCCTCTAGTTTTTCTACGTGATGGAATCGGCGCCGAATTTACACGTGTTGTTGCCAAACTTGATAAAACTTGGTGTCGCAAACAATAATGGTTTGTTAAACCCACCTGTAAGAAAAAAACAATATAAATTATAAGAAAATGATCATATGTGTAAAAACCTGTAAATTATCGTATCGAACTCACCGAACAACTACTATAACCATACATTAATATTAAATTGATTAAAAAATTAATTTCACTTCAATTTATGACAATTTCTCGTTGCGTAATAAACATAGACTTATAAAAAATAAAAATGTATTAAAATAAAAAAATACCACATGCGTTGTTCCATCCTCTTTTTCTCGCAGCACAAATTCATCAGCCGGTTCAGCAGGAATGATTAATAATTTTGGATATAGTTTCTGAGAATATGCTTCATTTATATTAGGCAGAGTTAAAAATTCGATAGTGCTTTATAACAAAATACAATTATAAAAATGATTATTTATTATTAAAATTGTTAATTATCACTTATACTAACCGAGGTATATATGAGGGAGCTTTGAAGATCACTTTCGAAGATTGATCCATTATTTCACCATGCACCAAGATTATGTGTTCGATATTATCGGTGACTTGAAATATCTTAAAAGAATTATGAAACATGCCAATTAAGACCTAAACTACAATAATATTATTTGCTTTAAACGAAACGAATTCTAAAACTTTTTATTATCACCTTGAATGTTTCTAAAATTGGTACGATTCCATTCCGTTGCTACTTGGACCAGAAGACAAAATGCACGAACGAATATGTTCACCAGGAAATGTACACAAATGCACCGATGATAACGTCACTACTGAATAATTAACGTGTCTTCCGGTCAAAAACTAAAAATACAATAAACTAATTTTTTTAAGATACTTTTTAGTTTTGTTTACTACTTACCTCTACCAAACCGAGACAATCTCCAGCAACTATCGGTAATTCATCGTCATTATCAGAAAAACTAACCAAAGTTCCATTCAGGACTACATGTATAAATGGACAAGTTTGTCCTAGATGTAAGACTGTTTGACCAGGACCCAAATACGTAGAACGTAAACGATGTTGCAAATAGGACAATGATTTTTCATCACCTGATAACCACTTCACATTTTTTAAAACCACCTGACTAAAACATGGTTTGTTAAGTTTGCAAAATATTTAAGATCGATTTTATATCAGTTTGTATTCTTAATAATACCTTTACAGGTGATTGCTGCAGGTATTTAATTATATCAGTTTGTATTCTTAATAATACCTTTACAGGTGATTGCTGCAGGTATTTAAATGAGTTTTGCATTTGATGATATTTTTCTTCTAGTACTTGTTTTAGCTTCTTATAGTCACCTTTTTCCAGTAAACCTTATGAAAAATATTATTAAACAATATAATATCAACGTACTATAAAAGGTGGAATAAATTTCTATTAATTAACCTTCGTTTCTCATGTCTACGGCTGATCTTCTCATATTCACCAGAACGTGTCTTACTGCGTGTTTTGTCCGTACAGAAGTCGCCAAATAAGGTCTATTTTTTTGGAGTGAAATAAGTTGCTTTAAAGTTTCATTTCGATCTTGTTCAATTTCTTTCTGCATTTCTAAACATATACTTTCATCATCTATAATGTACGGAAGTATATCTAATACTTCATTCTCCGCTGTTACAAAACCCTTATAAAAGAAACATATGTAAAAAATTATTTCTGAAAAACTGCGGAATTATAATTATTATAACAACTCTTAATATTAATTAATAATTTAAAAATTAAAAAGCAAGATTTTTTCTAATTTCTTAGTTCAAATTGTCAACTAACTTTTCCAATTTCAAATGCAGATAACATTCGATTATTCAAAAACGAGTCGAATGTCATAATAATTCTAGGTGCTACAACTTTGCTCAGTTTCAACAATCTCAAAAGTCTAAAAGTTCTCAGCCAGCTGGATGAAATCAATAATTCTTCAATGTCTTCCATTAATACATAACCCATTAGAAGCAGAAATTCGTCCAACGTTGCCAAAACGAATACCATAAACTCTAATTGGTTCCACTTCGAATTTAAATAACCATCGAAACTGAAACCTGCGATTTTAATACTTATCTCCCATAGTAGTAAAAAGTAAAACGAAATATGCCCGAATTGAAATGCCACGGTCATAGCGGGATTTGGATACTTATGTGCAGTTAATTCTGTTACCATTAGAAGTGAATTTAATATTACGGCACAGTATATTATGCATTTGAAAATATGAGATGTAGCTATAGAATAGGATATTTGTCTACATGATCCTTCAACCCATAGCGGCTCTGGTTCGTCCTGCACCAGAACCGTTAATAACCTGTGACGCATGTTCATTGTAGAACTCTGAAATAAAATAAATTTATAGATAATTTATAGCTTATCAAATATTTTATAAGAATCAAACTTACTTTGGGTTTCCATATATTTTCGATCCAATCAGTTTTTAACTGCATATTTGATGAAAATTCTGATTCATCGATCATATGTAGCAGGGCCGTCAACTTTAACAAAAGTGGATATCTTGATTATATTTTATTTATTTCATTATGTAAAATATATAATTTGCTTACAGTCTCCAAAGAGAGTAGTCCTTCGTGATATTGCTTTCTATAAGAAATTCGTTTTGCTTTCAATATTCTGCGTTTTGCCTCTCTGAAACAAAGAAAATTTTTGCAATTAGGTAAGTATATTATTAAAACTACACGTTAAATATTATCAAGATGTTTAATTTTAAAAATTAGATTTACCTCCTCATTAAAGTTAAAACTTCTTCGTTAGTATGATGTTCGGATACACGTGATGTTCGACACGGAAGACACGTGGTATCCAGAAATGCTAAAACATCATTATTTTCTGCTTCGTCGTAATCTTCCATAGATGCATTATATGGATGATCAATGGAGGTACCTTAAAATATAAATTTACAAACAATATCAGTTCAGGTGCAAATTTAAGAATTAGTAGCGTTCGGACAATCTCTATCATAAAAACTCTTACTGGAAGTGAGATAACATTATTTACCATTTTCCAAAGCAGTCCAATTCAAATCGGACATCTGAGGAAACATTTTCAATATTGAAATAGTTTTGTCTCGAGATTTTTCCAATCTTCTTAAGCAGTTTCTCAAATGATTACGTTTGTTCAAAGACGGTTCCTTTAATCGTAAGTATTTCAATAAATGAGGTGTTACACATCCGACCATAATTAAAGTAATTAATACAATCCAAAATACGTGCACATTTATTATATGCGATTTTCCATCTTTTGTACCATATTGTATTAAAAGAAGTGACATAGCTAGTGACAATGAACTTCTTCCAAAAGATAAAATAGTCACCGCAGCTTGGCGAATTGTAAATCCGCCATTCATTTTTGCTAATATGGGATACACGATAATAACAGTTAATGATCTTACAAACGGTATGATTATTACTGTTATGCCGACTTTAAATACATCATGCATTTCAACGATATGCGTAGTATATTGGCCAACTGCACAACTCGCCAGAAAAATGGTAAATGATATGCCAATAAAAGATAAAATGTTCCACAGCTCAGCTGTTTCACGCCTTACTTTATTCTTCATTCGATATTGGCGTTTTGCTAAAACTGCAGAAAGAATTGCAACTGCAATATCTGCAGAAACGTTCAAACAGTACATCGCTATATATACAGTCATATATAAAGAACTGATTATAATAGCGTTAGAAGTTGCAGGACGACATGTATGCACAACCACCAAGGCTGTTATTCTACCCATAATGTAACCAAATATCATAGCTCCGACTACGAATTGCAAACCCAGATTAAATGACTCATGAATATTAACACATTCTATTTGCTTGTATAACAAAAATTTAAATAAATAAATGCTTAAAGTTTCCCCGAAGAAAGATTCTCCTTCAAGTAGCGTTTGAAAATATTGAGCGATCGGCGAATCGAATAACTGATTTATAACTTCTTGGCCGTCACTAGGAGAACATAGGACACCATAAATTAACACCGTGGTCCAGTACCATTCCTGGAAGAAAGTTACTTTCAATAGGCCACCTACAACTGCAGCATTGGATAAAACGCCAGCCAAAGCTAGAACTACAGCTTGCCAGTGATTTTTAGTGAAAACTGCTTGATTTATTTTGAATACATTATTGAATATGTACATAGGAAGAAAAATTATCATAAACAGATTTGGGTCTAAAGATGATAGGTTCAAGTAACTCGCGAAGTCTTTATTTCCTCTTGCCACATAACCAATGGTAGCTCCTGAAGCCATTAATACGGCTCTAAAAGGAAGTTTGGAATCGATATATTGCAAAAAAGACTTTAAAACAACTATGAATAATAATGAAACGCTAATAAATAACAATTCGCGTTTCGGTGCTGTGTAGGAATTATAAGTTTCGCTTGAAGCAAAAGTAGTTGTATTATAAAAATCCATTTTAACTTTTATGGTTCCCACATTTGTCTTCACTACACTTTACACAAATTAGTATTTGTCAAAATATTTTAACAAAACAATATAACATCGTATTATAAATCAAAATATTTTGACAAAACAATATCACACATTCAACTGATCAAAGCAGCACCATAAATAAATGAGCATCGTCTAATAAACTCATTTATGTTTCGGTGAAGCGAATATTTATGTTGACGAGTTTTGTTAGTCGAATAAAATCTTATTAATATTGAGAACTGTAAAAATGTTCAGAAAACGTGTATTAGATGTTGGAAAAGCAGGGTTGAAGCAAATATTTGCACAACAGAAAAGGACTAATTACAACACGAACATGAGCGTTGTGTCTGGACCGCCGACCGTCAAAGTCAGCAAACAGGTAATTATTTTAAATACATTTTAAAAGTTATCAAAATTCGAAAATGCCAACTAAGCATTAGAATTAAATATAATATAATTTAATTGCAATTTTACATATTCATGTATATTCATATTAAAAATGAAAAGTATGTTCCCAATTTTACTAATATGTTTAGCTTCATTATTTTGAATTACAAAACATTTTAGTGTTGTATTTAATTGTTTGAAATTTTTCAATTTTCCTTTCAGACAAGGGTGATCTATGGATTACTTATAGTTTGTCCTCCAATAATATTTGACATGATCTGCCTGAGCAGATTGAAGTATATTGCCGGAACTCATGAAGGTTATTTCCGATAGAACAAAATACTTTTAAGAAATACAGATTGTATATTTGGTCTCTTTGAAAATAAATTTGGCGTTGATTATTTAATTCAATTTGAAGTTTCATTACTGTTCAATATTAGGATAAAACAACGCGACAACACAAGTAGAAAAACAAATTCTCAAATAAAAACTAACTCGATTTGAAAGTTGGTTCATATATTCACAAACTATACATATAGTAAAAATTAATTTTAAATCACAATAATTCATATTAAAATAGTTGCGAATTTTAGCACAACTGAATTACTATATATATTTTATCTTATTAAAGTGTCAATAAATGACATTCAAAATATTTTAAAACTATTGATAGATAAGCCTGGGACAAATAAAAAGGTTTGATGTTGAAGTACATACATCTATTTAAAACACAAATAAAAATTTTGTACATATATACAAAAAATATTATATACTGATATAAAAATTAGTATATCATTTACCTTAACAAAATAATATAAATTAAATACAAATAATTATTGTTTGACATTGTGAACACTCATTGCTAAAAATCATTGATCATTCCATATTTTTAATAAAACATACTAAAATATCATATAGTAATGAATGGTTTGTCATTAAAATATAAAGATGCAAAAATTCATACTTAATAATAATTACTTAATAAATTTGATAAAATTTGAATTGAATTAATATTTGCCATATTATTATAGTTAAGACTTAGATAAGAGATTTTCTCTCCAACAACTATTATTAAGTAAATATGAAATAAAACTTTGAAAAATAGATAGAATGATCAATGACAATAATTTCACTAAAATGGTTTATTTAATGACTAATCCATAGTCGAATTTATAATCATTGCCCATTCTCTATTTTGATCCCTTTGGCCCGCATTGCTTCATCATCAGCTGGACTCACCTTATTTTCTTGCAATTTAGGTTTCTCTTGCGCAGTCTCTTCATTTATATTACTTATATTTTCCACCACATTCATTCCACAATTTTCGGCACTTTGTATTTTATCAGTTTTTATAGAACCATTTTTATTTTCAAAGTCATTACACACAGTTTGCTCTTGCGACATCAATCTATCACTTTTAACATCTTCAGATGTTGGCATTTCATTAGTATTATTCAAATTCACCTTTGCTTCTGGGGTATCAACATTTTCCTTCATACCATGCACAGAACTTGTCTGTTGTGTTTGATAATTATTTTCTACAGAATTCATTTTATATGGCTCAGAAGTTTTAACATAGTTACTAGCTACTGAACTGGGTGTTTGACCCAACTTTGATACAGAACTACTCATTGAAATTGTTAAGTTATTAGTGTTCATCAATGACGTATGATCTGGAACTTTTAAATCCAGGGAAATTGGATTGTGATCATTATTGCTACTATTGTTACCCATTGCCTCATTAGATTTATAAATCTGGTTATGTGAATTGCTGCCATTTCCAGGAAGTGATACGTTGGTACTTATATTGCTACTAGAATGTAAATTCAATACTCTGGATTGCATAGGACTTGTCGACACTTGAGAAGGTGTGTACAAAGATTGATGATGTGAAATGTTAGGAACACTAGAAGTCTGTGCTTGACTACTGGAACTTGAAGAAACACTCAGTACTGTTGGTGATGATGGTTTAGATATTGAAGGCAACCCGGCTAGAGGATTTAGACTCATCTGACTTGTATGCTGAGTCGTTAAATTACTACTTCCATATTGAGGCTGTGATAGAGAAAGAGGAATGCTAACAGGCACTGGACTTATATGGTGCTGGCCAGGATATGTGGATATGACTGGTGACTGAGACACACGACTGGAACTAGTGACTCTAGTGGATAAATGTGGGGAAGAAGGTGGGTGATAAGGATGAGGACTTAATGAGTGCATTCCGCCATGCATAACAAGAGGGCTCTGAGGCGGTCGAAGACCCATAGGTAAAGGGGGTAATAAATGAGGCGGTATATGAGATAATAATCCTCCCATACGACCGCCTAATGCACTGCCGTACATGTGCGCTAAAGAAGGCGGTATGTGAGCAAGCCGGTCACGTTCTTCGCGTTCTCGTTGCGACTGCAATTGTTGCATTTGCTGCTGCAGCTGCTGCTGTTGTTGTTGCTGTTGCTGCTGTTGACGCTCCTTTTCGCGTTCCCGTTCTTTCTCCTTCTCACGTTCTCGTTCCCTCTCTCTAGCTGCAGCAGCCTCTTCTTCACGAGCAGCTATTCTTGCTCTATGTTCCTCTTCTAGTTTAATTCTGGCAAGTATAACAAATAACGATTAAAGTCAGAAATAAGAATATAATTATTAAATATATTTAAAGAAAGAATACAATGAGCATAATTACAATTTTTCTGTAATAAATCTAACCTTTCGTGCATGGCTGGCATTAGTCCTAATGCGCCGTAGTACGGGGCGTATGGTGAGGGAGGTGGTGGAGCAAGCGAAGGGTAAAGAGGCGTACGAAACATGCTCTGCATTCGTTCCAAATAGAGTTGCTCTTCGAGACGATATTGCAAGGCGGCTGCTGATGAAGGAAATAAGCCAGGAGCGCCCGTCGCAGCAGCGTACGATGCGGCGGCTGCTGCGTATGAAGCTGGATCGAGGCCGAAAGCTGCAGCAGCCGCGCATGCTGCCGCTGCGCTTGATGGTGACTGAGATGTGTGTGCTAACCTGAAGAAAAAACATTATTTATATAGAAACTCAATTTTATTATATATGAATTATTTATCCGCTTATTTCACAAAAAGAAAATCTGACTCATGTTATCTTCACTCACTGTGGAATAGTGGAAAAAATTCTAGTTGATTAAAAATAGAAACTAAATAAAATATAAAAACCTTTCATCAGGTCTATATGGTTGAAAACCACTTCGTCCCATAAGCTGATCCGGAGGAGGCGGCGGTTGCAAGGTTGATGTCGGTGCTGATAAACGTGGGATTTTCTCAGGGGGAGGCGTAGCATTCGCTGTAATGAACAAGCGGTGAGTTTTCCGGAATGAATCATGTTTTTTAATGACCGACAACCCGTTCAATAAAAACAAATTCTTCAGCAAATACACATACACAAACAGCTTATAACTGTATGAAAATATGAATTAACACATACTTCGTTTTGCCTTAGGGTCATCCTCTTTATCCGGTCCCGCCTGGTTAGCCAGTTTTCGTAGCATTCCCGCAAACGACCTACCAGGAGTCCCAGATGAAGCCGCAGCGGCAGCAGCGCTGTTTATAGCGGCTGCGGATGAGGTACCAGTAGCTGACACACTGCCATGCTGCCCTGCTGGCGCTGGACTAGAGCCAGTTCTTTTACTGCCTACCTTTGTCGTTTGAACTGCAAAAGAAACATGATTGAAAACATGTACTTCGAATTATATCATTAACAACATATACTGTCACCATTTTAGCAGTCATTTTAGAAAAAAAAACATGTAAATAATATTTTACATAAAGTCAATTAAATCAATGAATCAAACGAATGCTAAAACTTTTCTTTGCGAACAGAACAACTACTAACATGAATATCAAATTATTATCAGAAATTACCGCTAAGCCAATTTCTTAAAAAATATTTGTTTTATAAAAAATGTATAAATTTAGATGCAAATAGAAATTTCTCAATTCGACCCGAATGATTCGTTCTTGTAATCCTAAAGGTAAGTGCTTGGTGAAAAGAACTCCACCAGTCATCTTGTCGTTGAGAATAATACTAACTAAAGCCAACAATATTTGAAAAATATCAGAATATATACAGAACAGTTTGAAAAGTGCTGGCATATCAACTGGCGGAATAAATTAGGCGATAGACGATAGGGTGATTTAGGCCGATCAAGAGCGGGAAAGAGGGGGAAAGAGGGGGCGAGTGGCACTCTGTGGGGTCACGAGGTGGCGGAAAGGTAGTCAATGCGCGCGCGGTATGTGTTCCTAATAGTTATCAAGATTTCACAGAGTTGACACCCGTGCCGGGCTGCATGTATGAGAGTGCTGTACAAACGGCACACGGCGCCGGTATTGACCGCATCACTTTGCAAACACGCCAGAAATTTAAGGGGGGCTGCTTGCTTTCGACATGGAAGACAAACGTCATCCCTTCAGAAAATTATCAATAAATACTATAATATATATATATATATATATTATATATATACATTATTAATTTGGAAATATGAACAAACAACACTCTTTTTTAACTATTTTATTTGTTGTTCGAAATTTCGAACAACGTGTAACGGATAACACATATTGCTAATTTAGGTTTCCATATTTTAAATTTTAAATTATAACACACTGATAATGACAAACCTAGTCTCGAAACATTTGTAAAAATTATTATTTAATATAATAGTGCAAAAAAGAGTGTTGTTTGTTCATATTTCGAAATTAATATCTATTATCCACTCAGAACACATTTGTTATATTTATATATATCAAAATTAAAATATATTTAATGTTCACATTTGTGTTAAAAGAGTCTGATAATCAAGCATGCATCAATAAAAATCTGTATTTTTTTTTAATGCAAATTTGTCATTCAGTGGAACTTACAAAATTATTGTATTAAATTTAAATCATCATTCAATAAGAGGACAACACCAATAAAAGGAGAATAGTTAATAAAAATAGAAGTATTAAAATAATTCTCTCAAAAGTTTATACATCTTATAAAATCTCAAATAAAATAGTACTGCAAAAGATTGTTTGCAGTTATGATTTGTTTGTTTAGTGATCTAGTTAACAATAAGTGCTAAATTGTTATAGCAATTTATTAATTATGCTTGATGTACAAAGGACACGTTTAAAAGTTATTTTAAAGAAGTTGTAATTTTAAATTATCAAGAATTACAAACAATAATCTATACTATATTCTTAAAGTATTTTTAAAATCTTCAGCCTTTCCTTCATTAAAATCTCCTAAATAATTTAATGTGAAGTATATTTTGAAACCTATAAATTTTATTTAGATTCCAATATCCCCATCGCAAGTCATACAAATCCTGTATTCTTAACAAAGATATTCTTCCAATCAAATACTTAACAAATACAAGCTAATTTGGACTACAAAGGAAATTGAACACCACTGCGACGATATTGGTAGAACCATGGCGAACGGGCGGGACGGTGACTCGCTCTTCTATCAAGAAGATGAGAAAATCATGCGCAATAGTGTTTATGCATCTCTCCTCAGTCCCACCATATTGTTTCTGAAACAGAAGATTCCACAGTGCTTTCGTTCCAAACCGCACTGCCACTCGTATGAAAATCATGCGCCCAACTGGTGACTAGTAAATCATGCGGCTGACCGCGATCTCGAGAAGGGTATCACACCGTGCCGTGCGAGCCCAATTTGTAAAATTGCCCTTAGATGAACCTAATTGATACTTTGTGCTCGAAGTCACCAGTGGCTACAGATATCTTGGTTGGGAAATGAAATAATCATTTTCAAAGAACCTTCGAAACAGTAGCAGTTTCAAGTATAGTTCTAGTTTCTCTATTGTTGCAAGATCTCCTTTTTTGGCACTCAAATTCGTTTAGTCAAATTTTGGAACGAACTTCACTTTTTACTTGTCAAATCTTAAATTAAAATCTTGTTATCAATTATATTTCCTTAATTTATCATACACATATTGTAATTAACTTCCCGTAGGGTAAGTTATTGTAATGGGCCGAAAATCGGAATTGAAAATTTTTACATTTCTCGACTGATTTTTTTTTTCAAATAATTTCAACTCTGCAATTCAGTTTATATGATTCTTATGAATATTAGACAATGTTACAATATTCTATTTGAAAACATTCAGTATTCCTCGAACATTCCGTTACGGTACGGGAAGTTCCAGCAATTTGCCTTAAGGCACGATGCCATAATTGCCTCAAGATAGAATTCCACTTACAGCTAGTTTATGCTGATTTTATGTGTGGGTTGACTTGTTACATTTTCAACACTTCATGATATAGTTTGCCAATTTTTTTTCTTATAATTATTTTGAAATGTTACCATCAGTAAAAAGATATGTCCTCGTCAATCTTTTGAAATTTTAGGTCGCAAAATCACCCAACGTTAATAAAATATATATTATAAATTTACTTGTACTTTATCTACCATCTATCTATCAAATTTAAAGAATATAAAATAAAACTAAAAAAATATAATTATTTCAAAATAAATATTAATACTCCCACTGATAATATTTTGAACAATTTCATTTATATACATATAGCTTTATTATTATGGTAAAGGGTATTAATATCCACATGCAATTAAACCTGCAATATTAATATATAATTCTCATACATACCATTCATTTACTGATTGCCAAGATAATCAATATGAAAATGATTTACATTCTATTACCGAAATATTCATCAGCTCATCCGTACAAAATGAGAATTCCATTTATGTAACCTTATATTTTCATTAAAACAACTTGAGAATAAAATATCCGTATAATTTTATGTATATTCATCGATTTGTAATTTTAATTGATGCAAATAAAAATAACTAGTTAAATGTCATGACTTTGTCGAAATTTTATAATATACATGATATTTCTTCTTTTCATCACCTTGTTGCCATCTAGTAAGTACAAACTTATTCTAACTTAAAAATAAAACGTAAATAGAACTTCCGAAACAACAAACTGAATGGAAATAATTATCATCCTTTATGATCGTCGATAAATATCTTACCAGCAATGGGATGGCCCGCGCTTACGGGCAATTGCAGCCTGGCTCCCCAATCCATCTCTGGAAAGAATTCTCTCCCTGAATTTACACAGTAAACGAACCACTACTATAGTTCCGTTTAAACCTTAGTTTGCATGAAGCACACATTACTGGTGTAATATATTGTATCTACATCTCGAGCACCAATCGCAGTATTCCCAATTTCAAATCACAAGTTTCACAACTTTTCGAAACTACGCATATCACAGATTGAATATGTAAAAATATAACACTGATATATCACCTTTCACAAGGAACATACTACTTCACAAGTGATAATCCACAATAATCTAACTTGCGCCTGAAGAGGAACGAACATGGATAAATTGAACATCAGATAAATTCAAGAAGTTTGGAAAAGTTGAGGAATGAAAAATGAGAATAAGATTAATATAGGTTTATAGAAACAAATGTTTTAGAACTTTAAATCCGCTTTTTGCCGAGTTTTAGATATTTTTTCTCAAAATTAAAATCAATTTAACGTATTACATTAACTGCGATGAATTTGTTAATACCAATTTCAGTAATAAAAATCGCATGATTTTATCATTTATGATATAATTACTTAAATGATATATTCTTTTCAATTGAAAAATAAAATTGCATATTTCACATCCTATTTTATATGTTTTATAATTATTTTATAAGTTCGCAAGCTCCAAAAATCCATGTAATAAATATTCAAACAAGAATATTACTTATTTTAAAACCTGCTATATAAACGGCCATTATTTTTTCCCACACTTATATACCCGGATCAAGTTATATATAGTTAACTACAGCTAAATGAAAACTTCGTTGCGTAAAAAAAAAAACTAGAAAAACTTTGGTGACATCTTCTTGTAAAAAAGCATGTAAAGAATTGATTGTTAATATACTTTGAAATATATATTGATCTATTGCTTTTGTTTATTTTTATTTAAAAAAATATTTTTACATATGAACTTTTAACATGACAATAATCAGCAAAACTTTGGTAAATAATAAATTTCGTATGTTTAAATTAGTGATGTGCCAAGTCGAATCAAGTGATTCGAATCATTCGAATCAAGCCTTTAACGACTTGATTCGAATCAGATTTTACTTGATTCGAATCAACTCGTATCAAGCGCGAAATATTTACTGTGATAAAATATGTGTGAACACAAATTTTCATAAATATAAAAAAAATGTTTTAATTAATTCAATATTATAATAATATAAATAATAATAATAATAAATTATAAAAATAATAATATAAATATAAAAAATAAATCTTGAATTAAATCATGCGAGTCACCCGCCTTTAATACGCTTAAATGTATCACCCGACTCCAATTTATATGACTTTAACCGCATTCAAGTCGATATGAATTGATTCGAGTTCCTATGACTCAAACCGACTTATCCCGACTTCAAGTCGTTATGAATTAATTCGAGTTCCTATGACTCAAACCGACTTATCCCGACTTCAAGTCGTTATGAATTGATTCGAGTTCCTATGACTCAAACCGACTTATCCCGACTTCAAGTCGGTATGAATTTATCCGAGTTCATATGACTCAAACTGAATCATACCGACTTGAGTTCGAAACATGTGTCCGCGTTTCAGCGTATCGACTTATCGAGATG